GATTTTTTATCTGATTAGATAAGATTAAAGGCATAAAGGAGGAAATATAAAATATAAGGAATAATATAAAAAATCTAAGGCAAATATGAAAACACACAGAAGTCCTAAAAATGAGAATTATCAGAATTAAATACAGAATGGGTAGGTAAAATAGATGGTGCTATAAAAAAAAATGTCAGAGCTAGAATAAATATCTTAAGAAAATTTCCAACCATAAAAATTCTAGAAGAATCCAAAGGCAACAAAATCTCAGACATATGCCGAAGCAATTTCTTCACTGATACAGCTCCTAGGGCACTTGAAACTAAAGAGAAAATGAACAAATGGGACTACATCAAAATAAAAAGCTTCTGCACAGCAAAAGAAACCATGAACAAAACAACGAGAAAACCCACTGTGTGGGAAAACATATTTGCCAATGTCATATCTGATAAGGGCCTAATCTCCAAAATTTATAGGGAACTCATACAACTTAACAAAAGGAAGATAAACAATCCAATCAAAAAATGGGCAAAGGACCTAAATAGACACCTTTCAAAAGAGGACATTCAGAAAGCCAAGAGACATATGAAAACATGCTCAAAGTCACTAATCATCCGAGAGATGCAAATCAAAACAACAATGAGGTACCATCTCACACCTGTCAGACTGGCTATCATCAACAAATCAGCAAACGACAAGTGCTGGAGAGGATGTGGAGAAAAAGGAACACTTGTGCACTGCTGGTGGGAATGCAGACTGGTGCAGCCACTATGGAAGACAGTATGGAGTTTCCTCAAAAAACTTCAAATGGAACTACCATTTGACCCTGTGATCCCACTTCTAGGAATATATCCCAAGAAACCAGAAACACCAATCAGAAAGGATATATGCACCCCTATGTTCATAGCAGCACAATTCACCATAGCTAAGATCTGGAAACAGCCTAAGTGCCCATCAGTAGATGAATGGCTTAGAAAACTGTGGTACATCTACACGATGGAATACTATGCTGCTCTAAAAAGGAAGGAACTCTTACCATTTGCAACGTCATGGATGGAACTGGAGAGCATTATGCTAAGTGAAATAAGCCAGTCAATGAAGGAAAAATACCACATGATCTCACTCATTCATGGATAATAGAGACCACTATAAACTTTTGAACAATAATAGATACAGAGGCAGAGCTGCCTCAAACAGATTGTCAAACTGCAGCGGGAAGGCCGGGGAGGTTGGGGGGGCAGGAGGTAGGGGGGTAAGAGATCAACTAAAGGACTTGTATGCATGCATATAAGCATAACCAATGGACATAAGACACTGGGGGATAGGGGAGGCTAGGGGACTGTCTAGGGCGGGGGGATAAAATGGACACATATGTAATACCCTTTGTAATACTTTAAGCAATAAAAAAATAAAAATAAAAATAAAAAAATAAAATTAAAAAAAAAAAGAAAATTTCCAGAACACTACACAGAGAGACAGAAAGAAAATATGAAATTAGCCAAGACATAAAATAATAGTGTAGAAGTAAAAAATAAAAAGTCTATTAAAAATTCAGGTTTGATTATAATTAACAGCTGAAGCCAGGGGATAAAAATTTCTAACAGGAACTTTCCAATACACCATTATTCATATACGTATAAAAGGCTAGCAAATATTCAGAAAGTATTAACACACATCAAGAATATGGGCATTATTCATGCTGCATGTTCAAACTTCTGGTTATTCTATAACTAGTTACTATAAAATTGAATTATTTGTTTGGCAAAATTCTCATAAGGTGGTCTACATTAACTATAATGACTTTTAAAATAAAATGTTAAACCTCAGGACCATAACTTCAGTAATTTTGTTATAATTAACTCAACCAGTATAAAACCATACATATCTCTCTGCAGTTATAAAAATCCACCTGACTTTCTCTTGGATCAATGATGACATTTTTAAAAAGTGGAGAAGAATATGTAAAAACAAAAATACAGAATCATGACTCTCCTCTGCAATCCTAAATAATAAAAGCATAGTATGCAAATTGTCCCCTCAACTGGGAGTTCATCCAGGAGTTCCAGCAGGGGGTGGGGCTGGCTGGGGGAAGGGAGGGAGTCCCCGGCCAGCCGCTGGCAGCCTCTAGGGACCCTACTAGTGCACTGTGCACTGGGCCTCTAGTCTAATATAAAGATCCAGTCCTAAAAGGAGCCAGTACTTCTGGCAGACAATTCTTCAGGACTTATACAAGACATAAATCCATAGAGTTAGGAAGCACGCCAAATCCTAAACAGAATACATTAAAATAAAATGCATACATTCATGATTTTATTAAATTACAGAATTATACAACAAAGTAAAAGAGATAGTAGAAACCAGAGGGATTATAACTCTCAACTAAAAACTCCAGAAGCAGTTAAATTAACATTTAAGAATGAAAGTAAAAAATCATCGCCAAAGCCGGTTTGGCTCAGTGGATAGAGCGTCGGCCTGCGGACTGAAGGGTCCCAGGTTCGATTCCGGTCAAGGGCATGTACCTGGGTTGCAGGCACTTCCCCAGTTGGGGATGTGCAGGAGGCAGCTGATCGATGTTTCTCTCTCATCGATGTTTCTAACTCTCTATCTCTCTCCCTTCCTCTCTGTAAAAAATCAATAAAATATATTTAAAAAAAAAAAAAATCAAAACATGTTCAGACTGTAGAGTACTAAGGGCAGGGTGGTGGCAATAGTCCACCCTGAGTGGCAATGCATTGCCTAATGAGAATTTAAAACAACAATAATAAAACTGAATAAAAAGAGTTTGCTTTTTAAGAATTGTGATGTCAGTTATAAAATACTTCAGCTGCCAGAATGGACCACTCCCACCAGTCTGTTTTTACTATGCCACTGAGTTGGACAAAGGAAGCTGAAGGAATTTCCAACAAATCTTTATAGAAAAACTCTAAGACTGTATTTTAGGAAGAAAGAAACTGATACAAGAAAAAAAGTCTGAGATATAAGAAAAAAAGGTGAACAAAGAAATGTATAAGCATAGATAACCTAAGTAAACTCTGACTGCCTAAAACAATAATATCCAATTGAAGTGGATTAAAAAACCCAGAAATCCTAAAAAAATAAAAAGTAAAACTACCATATAATCCAGCAATTCTACTCCTGAGTATTTACCTGAAGAAAGCAAAAACACTAACTCAAAAATATGTATGTACTCCTCTACTCACTGCAGCATTATTTACAATAGTCAAGATATGAAAACCACCAAAGGGTCCACTGATGGGTGGATGGATAAAGAAAATGTATCTCTCTCTCTCTCTCTCTCTCTCTCTCTCTCTCTCTCTCTCTCACACACACACACACACAAACACATACACACACACACACAATGAGCTATTATTTAAATAGCCATCACAAAGACTGAAATCTTGCCATTTACAACAACATGGATGAACCTTGAAGGCATTGTGCTACTAATACTAAAGTAAGTGAGACAGAGAAATCCAAATACCATACGATCTCCCTTACATGTGAAATCTAAAACAAACAACAAACCCAAAGCTTATAGATACAGAGAACTTGGGGGTGGGCAAAATGGGTGAAGGAAGTCAAAAGGTACAAACTTCCAGTTATAAAATAAGCCATGGGGGTGTAATGTACAGCATGGTGACTACAGTTAATAACATTGTATTTCATATTTGAAAATTACTGAGATAACAGACCTTAACGATCTCAGCACAATAAACAAATTTTTGTAACTCTGTATGGTGATGTATATGTTAACTAGATTTATTGTGATCATTTTACATTATATACAAATACCAAATCACTGTATATCCAAAACTAACGTAATGTTATATGCCACTTATACTTCATTCAAAAAAAAGAAAGAAAATCTGATGGGTGTTAAAACCAAGTATGGTCCAAATTTGACTAATCAGGACTTCCTAGGGCCCTGTGAAGAAAAGAATATTTGGTAACACGGTTTTTCTGTGTACACAGAAGTGTGACTGTGGTTTTGGAATCCGTTTTAACTTTTCACATTTATAATTCAGTGGTACAGAACCACTGAAATATTTGGTAATTCTCTCTAATTCTTGCCAACAAACAAACCACCAAAGAATGAGAAGGCTGCACATCAATAACTTTAAAAAAAGGAAGTACAGTGGCTGGAGTTCAAGTGTTCTGGAGATTGTGATTAGCCTCAGATTTTGTTAAGGATACATGTTAAATATTTAACAGTAACCCTAGAAGAAGAGGACAGACTCTGTAACTTTTAAGTTAGTAGAAGGAAGTAAATTAAATGACTAAATTACAAATTCATGTTACATAACTTCAGCAGGCCCTTAGTACATCCAGACAGATCCTGCCCTTCATCTACTGATTCTATCACATTTCTAACTTTTTCAACCAGCGTTCCGCCTATAATTATCCTCATACTATAAAATACCATTCCCTACCACTTTACTAAAATATCTGAAGCGCTCTGTAGATCCTCATCGGCCCTCAGCTGATAGAAACACCATTGCTCCATCAACTGAACCCTCTGCCTCTCTACCCCCCGATAGGCCAGCCTCATTTACCTCCTACAAATGTGCTCAGTTCTGTTTCACCCTAAAATATCCTCCCATCAACTCTGCTACTCCTTTTTTAAATATATTTTTTATTGTTGATAGTATTACAGATATGTCCCATTTCCCTCTCTGCTACACCTTTTTAAGTTAAGGCATTCTTTCTTAGTTTTTAATTCTGAATTACACATACTCCCCAGTCATAAAGGGTAGAAAGCTTAGCTTCTGTTTCTTCCTATATTCTTTCTTCCAACACAAACCAGCTGAAAACTGGCTCAGGATAGGCATGAGCACAGGAGGTCCCATAAAGCAAAGACTGGGTATAATTAATTTTGTTTATATAGCATCATGATCAAGTGGACATAGACTGGATATTCAGTCTTTTATAATATACTGACCATTGCTTTCTTACATCTGTGAGGGCTATAAAAATTGTGACCACTTACTCTATGTTCAAGTCTGAGAGCCTCTTACCCTTTTTCAGTTTCCGGACAGCCAGCATACAGTGACTAGGAGAGAGATCCCATATTCTCAAGGTTTTGTCATCACTTACAGTAGCACAGATGGGCAGATAAGGATGTGTGGCCAAACCCCACACTTCTCCTTCCATGTGTCCCTATATAGAAAACATAGTTAAGATAAATTTAACCTAAAGCTATGTGGATTTAGAAAACAACGAAAGACAACTTTTGATAATATGTGATAATGATAGAACAATGAATAATGAGTAAGTCTACTAAAACTTTTCTCTTTATCTTCGGAATACACTATAAAACACCTTTGTAACAACTTTATCTCCACAATTACAATACAATCAAGCTACTGTGAAAAGTAGCTTAAAATCCTAGAACATTCACTGGAGGAAGAAAGTAGAACTTGGCTGCCCTCGAATGTTAATAAAGGCCACGTAGGGGGAACAGCCTGCATGACAGAGTAAGGAGTTCCACAGACCTCCTCACCAGTAAATGTGGTGAAAATAATAGCAAAAATACACCACACATTTCAGGTCTCTGGATATGGTTCCAAGGAAAAGCAACAAGTGAAGCAACATTTACTCAGAAAACTGAGATGAACAGTGAGCGTCTGCAGTATTGGAGCTGAGACCCATCCTCTTCTCCCTCTTCCTAACTCACTGATGTTGAAGCTCCACAACAGACAAGGAAACCAAGGACACTCCCTCTCCTATTCACCAGTTATTAGTTAGAGGGTATCTTCCCAGAAGGGGCAGGTGCCAGCATTTCTCACCCTGCCCCCAGTATCTGCTACTGATGCAGGTGCTGCTGAGAGGTGGGATCGCCCCTCTTCTGCCCACCCTCACTCTGAAATGTTGCCCTACCCCAGCTGCAGTGCCCCTGAGCATACTGAGACCTCAGTGTCAACCAGTAAGACCTGAAGTTATTGCGCGCGCGCGCGCGCGCACACACACACACACACACACACACACACCAAGCACTCATCTTCTAAAGGAAAGAGCACTCCATTGTCCTCGCCCTCAACTCCAGAACCTTGGATAGAGGTTTTGACTGCGGTGAGAAGAAAGCCATAAAAGAGCTTCTAATCTCTTCTCAAAGGACCTGATGTTATTTACTGCTAATGTGGAAAAGTTCTGGCCTAGAGGTGGTCTCAAAAACGATGGAGGCAGCAGGTGGTGATAAAATGTAACTGGCAGACTCCAGGGACATACAGACTAAACCGAAAGTCAGCTAGCTTATCCAAGAGAAGCTGGGAAAACTCAGGGATAGCTGAGAGGAGACTGCTTAAAAAGTAAAAAAATAAAAAATAAACAACAACAAAAAAAATCCCACGCTAACCTAGGGAACTATTCCTTTTAAGAAGCCTGAATTTAATTGGTTTAGTCTGTGGGGCAATTTATGTTCCAGGGAAATGTTGAAGACAGTAGAGCCTTAACGGCTGGTGGTGTTCAGGGAAAGAGACCTCCAGAGGAAAGAACACTCCCCCAATCATTGTATGAAGCCAGTATTACCCTAATACCAATACCAGATAGACACTACGAGAGAACTACAGGCCAATATCCCGTATGAAATACTGGCAAACTAATTTCATTATAGAATGATACACCACAACCAAATGGAATTCATACTAGAAATGCAATGGTTTAAAATCTGAAAACCAATTAACGTAATACATCATTATCAATAAAGTAAAAAATCAAAACCACATGATAATTTCGATAGAGAAAAAAGCATTTGACAAAGACTTTGGAGAAAAACTTGGAAGAAAAGAATAATTCCTCAATCTGACAAGGGGCATCTCCGAAAAATCCATAGTTAAAATTGGAGTTAATGGTGTGAGATTGGAGGGGTCCTCCCTAAAATTAGGAACACGACAAGGATGTCTGCTCTCACTACTTCTATTCAGCATTTGCAGAGAGTCCGGCCACTAATTAGGCAAGAAAAAGAAATAGGCATCCAAATTAAAAAGGGGGAAGTAAAACTATCTCTATTTGCAGATGACACAATCTTGTGTACAGAAAATCCTAAAAAAATCCACTAAAAAACTATTAGAACTAATAAATAAGTCACTTTAATAAAATAAATATGGGACTTGCACACTGAAAATTATAAAACACTGTTGAAAAAGTTAAAGATCTAAGTAAATGGAGAAATCCCATGTTCATGGATTACAGTACTTGATATTGTTAACAGGCACACTTCCCACACTGATCCACAGAATTCTGCAGCTACTAATATTGCTGTCCATACTTTTTGGTATATATATACACGAATACTCCTATTGTATACATACATAGCTACACTTTTAATTACTACAGTTTTATATTTATTTCTAGCATGAAGAATTTCTCAAAAATTTCTTGACCACTTTAAAATATTTTTTAAAGTCTCAGAGTCTGTAAAAAAATTTCATTAGGATTTAGATTATGATCATACTGAATTTGTAATTTACTCAGTTCTTTTATGTCTTTAGTAAAATTGTATACTTTTCTTAATACAGGCCTTGCATATTTTTACCGGTATTTTTTCCTGATTATCTGTATAGTTTTCTTTATGAGTACCCTTTTTGTTTCATATTTTCTAACTGGTTATTGCTAATATATAGAAATACTATATTGATTTTTATGTGTTGATTTTGCACATAAGTTCTTAATAAGTTCTACTAAATTTTCAGTTTATTCTCTTGAACAGTCAATGTATAGGGTTATAATTTCTGCAAATATTGACAGTATTGTTTCTAACATACCTTTTTTTTTTATTTTGTTTGTTTTACTAAACTTGCTAAAACCCAACACAGAGTTGAACAATAATGGCGAGAACTGGTATCCTTATCTTGTTCCTAATGCATAAGAGTATATTTGAAACCTTAAACTCTATAATAAATATAAAAATATTAGGGTGTCATTTTATAATTATGAAATTATGTGTGGGTGTGTGTTTTAGTAGTTCCATCTATGGATTCATCTGTAGAAGTGTACTTATGTTATTATTTTCCAAGAAATCATAAACATGTTAAACTCCACGACGCCATCATCTCTTTACTTCAATGGAATATGATGTGACTAAAATTAACGTATAAGACATGAAAGTTTGACAGTTAATTTAATATAAAATATGTTATTTGCTTATAAATTCTCTTTGGTACATCAGGATAGTATATTAACATTGAAGTATGTGCAATATTCTCATTTACGTATCCTCTTTGGTATCTTAACAGGAGTGAAGTGAGAGTTAGAGAAAAAAAAAAGTCTGTATTAAGAAAGAACATAATTATTCTTACGTGTAAAAGGCAAACCCAAAATTGGTGTTACTGTATAGAGTTGCATGAGGACAATTTTTCATTAGGGTAAATCAGCGATTTTCAATCGGTGCGCAGCAAGGATGTTTTAGAACATGCAATACCTGACCATTTAGTCAGTGACACTGACCTCTTTTCCCTTGGACTGTCAAATAAAAAAAATGACAACAGCCAACACAACAATAGTTATCCTGTGTGAATGAAACAAAATTATTCTTATTTTTTTTGTCAGATTGGCAAAAAACATATTTCTTGGTGTGCCACAGAATTTTAGTAATTAGTTTATGTGTGCCATGAGATGAAAAAGGTTGAAAATCGCTGGGGTAGAGCCTACCTCACTTAGTGTATTTTATGCTGTCAATTTATTTCCCTCCCTACTTTTCAAAAAAAAAATAATACATATTGAAAACGTACATGTGAAAAATTAGTACAGCATTCCCTGCTGTTTCATTTTACATTTCTACCACACACATTTTTATATTTCTGAATTTTAAAAAATGTTTTTATTAATTTCAGAGAGAGGAAGGGAGAGAGATAGATACATCAATGATGAGAGAAAATAATCAATCAGCTGCCTCCTGCACGCCCACTACTGGGGATGGAGCCCGCAACCTGGGCATGTGCTCTGATGGGGAATTGAACTCGACCTCCTGGTGCCTGGGTTGTTGCTCAACCACTGAGCCAAACCACCAGGCATATATTTCTAGATTTTTTGTTTTATTATTGACATACAGGGTGGGGCAAAAGTAGGCTTATAGCTGTGAATACACAAAAGTTTATTCTTGTATTATTATTTATTATGAAATTTTCCATACAAACTACGGTAAACCTACTTCAGCCCCACCCTTCATTTTCTTTTTTTTTTTTTTCCTTTTATTTTATTTTTTTTAATTAAATCTTTATTGTTCAGATTATTACATTTGTTCCTCTTTTTTCCCCCCATAACTCCCCTCCTCCCAGTTCCCGCCCCACCCTCCGCCCTCACTCCCCACCCACTGTCCTCATCCATAGGTGCACGATTTTTGTCCAGTCTCTTCCCGCATCTCCCACACCCCTTCCCCCCCAGGAATAGTCAGTCCATTCCCTTTCTATGTCCCTGATTCAATTATAATCAACAGTTCATTCTGTTCATCAGATTATTTATTCACTTGATTCTTAGATTCACTTGTTGATAGATGCATGTTTGTTGTTCATAATTTGTATCTTTACCTTTTTCTTCCTCTTCCTCTTCTTAAAGGATACCTTTCAGCATTTCATATAATCCTGGTTTGGTGGTGATGAACTCCTTTAGCTTTTCCTTATCTGTGAAGCTCTTTATCTGACCTTCAATTCTGAATGATAGCTTTGCTGGATAAAGTAATCTTGGTTGTAGGTTCTTGGCATTCATCACTTTGAATATTTCTTGCCACTCCCTTCTGGCCTGCAAAGTTTCTGTTGAGAAATCAGCTGACAGTCGTATGGGTATTCCCTTATAGGTAACTGAGTTTCTTTCTCTTGCTGTTTTTAAGATTCTCTCTTTATCTTTTGCTCTTGGCATTTTAATTATGATGTGTCTTGGTGTGGTCCTCTTTGGATTCCTTTTGTTTGGGGTTCTCCGCGCTTCTTGGACCTGTAAGTCCATTTCTTTCACCAGGTGGGGGAAGTTTTCTGTCATTATTTCTTCAAATAGGTTTTCAATATCTTGCTCTCTCTCATCTTCTGGCACCCCTATAATTCTGATGTTGGTACGCTTGAAGCTGTCCCAGAGGCTCCTTACACTATCCTCGCATTTTTGGATTCTTTTTTCATTTTGCTTTTCCGGTTGGGTGTTTTTTGCCTCCTCGCATTTCAAATCATTGACTTGATTCTTGCGCTCCTCTGGTCTGCTGTCGGGAGTCTGTATAATATTCGTTATTTCAGTCCGTGTATGCTTAATTTCTAGTTGGTTCCCCAATATAAGATCGAGGGTCTCATTAGTTTTCTTGTAGATCTCATTAAGTTTATCGGCGGCTTCTAAACAGTTCTTGAGAGACCTTAAAAGTGTGGTTCTGAACTCTATATCTTCCATTGACAATTTTGTCCTGTTTCTTTGTCTCCGCATTTTGTTATGCTTCCTCGGTGCACCCCCTAGTGGTCTTTGTTTGCAGTCTTATAGTTAAATCTTGATTGTTGTAGCTAATTCCAGGGAGGGTTTGACCTCCAGGCCAAGTGGCTATGAGAATCAGCTGTGTCAGCAGTGAGAGAACTTCTGTCCTCTAGGGAGGTGCTAATCTAGCCTTTGCCTGAGGCTATCCGGCAAATGCCTCTGTGCAGGGCTTGGGCGGGGCGGGTTGCACAGGATCAACAGGGTGGGCCGGGGAGAACAGTTATGGCGGCTCTCAGTCCTGTCCCCAGGGGCTCTGCCTCTCTGAGTTCCAGCAACTGCTGCAAAGCTCGGAGAGAAAGCTGCACTCGCTCTGACCGAAGCCAGACAGTCCCGCTTCTCCCGTTTGAGTCTGGGTCGCTAAAGACTCGCTTGTATCTGGAGCTCAGAGTCTGCGACTCCCTCCCGATTGAAAACGCCAACCGCGCCCTCCACCGCCAGCCCGCTCGCGCACTCCGCACCTCAGAATTTGACTTCAGCACTGCGCCTCCTCTGAGTGTCCGTATGCGTTTCTCTTTCCTCCTAGTTGTAGGACTTCCACTCAGCCAGCATTGCTGTGGTTCTGGGTGATGTCCCTTCCGTTTTTTGGTTTCACTTTTGAAGTAGTTGTTCAAAGCAGCAAACTCCGGCGTTAACCTATGCCGCCATCTTGGTTCTCCCCCACCCTTCATTTTCACTGATGTTTTTGGCAGTACATTTTTAGCATACATTCATTTTTAAGTTTTCTAAGTTAGAAACTTGAGAAAGAATGAAGTGAACTGAAGTTTCACAGAAAAACAATGGCCATAGGTTCAACAAATATACCTCAAAGAAATAAAATTAAACATGAAATAAATGCACTGGGTTAAATTAACTAAACTGTTTTTTCTTTCCATGGGTTTGTTTTACAATAACAAATTACTTAAAATATTGGTTATTATCCCCATGATATCATGCACATTTATTTACTGAAGCTATGCATTTAGCTATAATTAAATGTAAATTTTTTGATATATAGTAACATTAACAAATATTTCTCCAATTAATTTAACATCATTTTCACCACTATCAACTTAGGCTCTTAGGTATTGTATCAACTGTATATTAAGGGATAAAAAGCATATTAACATTTAGGAAATTACCTGAACCAGAAGTGTTATTGGGCCACTTTTATCCACTTCTAGTATTTCACCATTCTTTGTGCCAACTAAAATATGACCATGTCCTAACGATATGGCACGTATAGATGGGTTATCTTCCAAGAGAAGACCTGAAATGTTAAATGTAGATGTTCCTCTAGGTATCAATTAGAATAGTACAAGGCTATATAGTATATTGCTAATGATACTATTCTGACAATGAAAATCACATTACAAGGTTGCTTTCTCCTATATTTTAAGTATTCTAATAAATGCATTGCATGTTCCCCATTCAATTTACTAATCTCAAATGCAAGTACCACCTATATACTACAAATGTATGATTCTATATAATCCCAGATCCCCTACTATCATTCTGATAACTGTTTCTTTTCCCTTTATATCTGTACCTCCATATCCACCTTCTGACCCTCTAAGAGCATGTATAATATTCTGGTTAGTAATTTTAATTCAACTCAATTTCAGATGAATCCATTTGTGTTTACTGTGTCCTAAGGCAGGCTTCAGAAATACCTGGGTAAACATGATAGAGCCAGCTCCTGCCCTCACAGGGCATATAATGAGAAAAGCAGACCCTGTCTGTATGAGAAGCATAGTATTGGAAAAGGAGCATACAGTAAGGGAATCAAACCTTTTTTGGAAGGAGAATGGGAGGGAAAGGTATCCTAGAAGAAATAATGTTTGAGATTTGAAAAATGAATATTCAGCCATGTAACTGGAGGGAGCAAAAGGGAGAAGGGCAAAATCTAGGCCAAAGTCCAGTAGCTCCCCCCGCCCAGGGGATATATTCCAAGACCCCCAGTGGATGTCTGAAACTGTGGATAGTAGCAAACCCTATGTTTCTTCCTATACATACATACTTACGATAAAGTTTAATTTATAAATTAGGCATAGTAAGAGATTAGCAACAATAGCCAATAATAAAATAGAACAATTATAACAATATACTATAATAAAAGTTATGTGAATGTGGTCTCTCTCTAAATATCGTATTATACTGTACTCACCCTTTTTGTGATGCTGTGAGATGATAAAATGCCTTATCAATTAGTAATTTTTGCCTTTTTGCTTAAAGGAAGCACTTTTATGGCTTCCTTTTGGCATGCCTGAGTTGCCCCATTACTACTTTTGTGCTTTGGGGCCATTATTAAGAAAATAAAGTTTCCTTGAACACAAAAACTGATTCTACAACAGTGGATCTAATAGCCGAGGTGGTTAAGTGACTCAAGGGTGGAGAGCATATACAGCATGGTGACTCTGGACAGAGGAAAGATCCATATCCCAGGCAGCACTGAGCAGAAGAGCACGAGATGTCATCACAATACTCAGAACAGCACCAATCTAACACTTATGAATTGTGCATTTCTGAAATTTCCCATTTAATATTTTGAGACCAATGTTCACCACAGGTAACTGCAACTGTAAAACTATGGCTAAGGGGGACGACTGCACTGGCATATGGAAAGGCCTGGAGGTCAGAGAGTGTGACACGGTGGCTGAATGTGCTGAGAGAAAGGGTGAAGCAGAGGAGGGCCTGCAAGGCTGGACAGGCAGGGTCACTAAAACACCGAGAGGAAGCCAAACAAGCTCCTGATTGGTGGTAAATGTGATGTTCAGGTGGCAATTTTCTTTGGAAAATTAAAAATGTTAAAAATTAACACTAATAATCTTGTTTTTGGTTAACGTTTTACCACGTATGTCACAGATAACAGTTTGAGAGGACAACAGTGTTTCTAGCATTCAGTTAAGTGGCTTCTCCCATTTAGCTCTGATGCCTGTCTAGTAACAAAGGAACAATTTATTGCATGTGCTCTACCTCAGTGACCACAGGTGTTAATGAGCCATTACTCTTTTTTCCTACAAAGTAAATTAAATCTCAAATCACCTTTAGATCCTGGGGCCAAAGCAGCTCTTTTTATAGCATAGGTCTTGAGACATCTCTCAAAGGAGTCATCCCAAAGTGCGACTACACCATCTTTTCCTCCAGTAACAAATCCCTACAAAAGTAAAGGTGTCAAGTTAATAAAAATCCAAATATTTCAAAACAATAAGCCTCTTTGTATTGAAAAATTCTAGAGGAAAGAACATTTATAGGTAAAAGTTACTGGTTGTAATAAATGGAAATTAGTATAAGAATCCACTGCATGTTTTTAAACTTCAATATGGAGGCTGCAAAAATTTTTACAGTGACACGATACATGCAACTTTTAGGACAGGACTTTAAAAGCACAGTTTGTAAGTTGGAACCATAAGGTAGTGCTACTACTTTCAGCAGGTCACATCTATTCTCCTGGAGGCTTCATAATCCTATCCTTTAAAAAGAAAGGTTAGTATCAGGAGCTACCTTATAGGGCATGGTGATAATATATAACGCACTTAAACAATTTCTGACCCATAGTAAGTGATTAATACATATTAACTTAGACTTTTTTTAAAACAGCAGACCTATTTCACTCTGGGTTCAGGCATTTGAAAGAGGAATAAAACAAGGTCAGGTAGACTAGCTCACAGATTATTACTGAGTGGCTCAACTAAGCTGAATGCCACTGTCCCTTTACTTGTTAAAATGCTCTACACTGCAGGATCAAATTCTGTTGAACTTAAGATATCTTTAGATGACTTACCTTTTCCAATGCATGCATACTGAATACGGGCCCATCATGTGCTTTAACTGTTTTTACAAGAAAGATGTCTCTCCAGATGCACACATCTCCTGTGGACGTTCCAGAAAAAGCCATCTCTTCTGTCCATCCATACACCGCACACATCATTGTTTCATTCTTCCCCAGTGTGCCTATGTAGCCTTTTCTGCCAACCAATCCTCCCCCTGGGTCACAAAAATATGATGAAAGTACCACTTTCAAATATATAACATAAGACAGTAAAATTCCTTCTGTTGTTGTTTACATAGAAAGACATGTAACAAAAAGAAGAGTTAAAAAGAAAAAGACGTTTTCTCAATGAGTGACTTGAGCAACACCTTGTCTGGCTGAGGCAGACACAGTTAGGGTTGCCCTCCGGCCATAGCTTTTTTTTTTTTTTTTTCAGCCCTCACCTGAGGATATATTTGATTTTGAGAGAGATGAAGGAACAGATGGATGGAGAGAGAGAGAGAAACATCGATGTGAGAGAAACATCCATCAGTTGCTTCCCATATGCACCTTAACTGAGGATCAAACCCACACCACAACCTTGGACATAAATCTCCAATTGAAAGCATAAACTATTGTTCGGAGGTGTTTTAGTACATAGATAAGAAGAGAAATTGATTAATAATAGGAGGGGAGAGTTGAAAGGTTTTTGTTGAGTTACTTATTTAAGAAGGAGAAGTAACACTGCCTTAAATGCTGAAAGGAAAGACAGTAGAGGAAAAACGGATGATGTGGGGGAGAAAGGGGCGAAGAGCTTGGAGTGATATCCTTGAGTAAGTGAGAGGAAAAGGAATCTAGTGCCCGTGGGAGGACTGGCCTTCACTAGAGCATGGACCATGCATCTAGAGCAGGGCGGCAAACTCTGGGCTCCGGGCCACATCCTGCCACCACCTGCTTTTGTAGGGCTCCCACTGGAGCAGCTTTGCACCGAGAGCTGCAGAGTCCACGCCTGTTTCCTTCTCTGCTCTCTGACTTTTGGCTGCTAGATAGCAGCTCCCAGGGCTTGAGCTGGTCACCATCTACAGGACTTTGCTAATGGCAACTGCTGGGCCCCTAACAGTGGAATCACAGGAGCTGCCTTGCTGCTGGCCAGCTGCCCACGTTGAGAAGGCAGGCCTCTCCGGGAGGATCTATGTGTCACTGAGGCAGAGGGAGGCTGACATGGTCCCCACCCCAACCTGCCAGTCCCCTTCACCATCGCAGGCTGATCTTGGAGACAATGTCTCCAGTTAATGGCCTCTGGGTGCAAACGGATAAGGCAAGGGCAGGAGTTCTCTCTCTTGTTCTATAAATACCAATGCAATATGGTTGATCTTGGGCCTGGAAAGTCTAAAATAGTTACTCTCTGGACATTTAGAGAAAGAGTTTAGCACTCCTGGTTTAGACAACCATTAGTTCGGTTTTCTGACACACAGTATAACAAGGTCATGTCACTGTTGCACTAGAAAAACTTTCAGTGGCTCCTTGCCCCCACCAGCCATGGAGGAGAGTTCAAATTCCTTAGAGGAGAGATTAATAATTCATAACTTGGAATCCTCAAAGCCTACATCCAGAATAGGAGGTAAGAATCTCCCCTTAGCCTCAGGCTTAAGTAATCTTTAACTTAATTTACATAAAGCTATGCATTTAGAGGGTTAGGCAGCACTTAAGACTAATAAGTGATCATTTCCCACTTGGCTAGTACACTCTGTGGATCAGAACCCCAAAAGTGAGGATGGCTGAAAGGCACACCAAAGTCTTATCATTTATCCATTTATGATTCAGTTTCAGGTCTACTATATGTCTTCTCAAACTTAAGGAAAGAAGTTATTCAATTGTACATCTTTTCATTTTAAGGCTATTTACTTTCTTTAAGTCTCTTATTTCAAAAATAATTATAGTTCTTTTCAATAGAAATAATAAGCATTATGTGCTTGCTAATTGCAATTCCAAGTAACAAAGACACGCAAATTAAAAGTTTTGTTTAAATGTATAGGAATGAAAATTACAAATATGAAAATACTTCTTTTACTTTGTAAATGTGTATACACTATGATCAGATGAGTTTGTGAAGTATTAAATCCCTGAAAACTGATTTGTGTTCTATGTGGTTTACAATTTGAAAGTTACTTGAACTTGAAAAATGTCTTCACGAAGCCTTTTCTTTCCTAATATATATTTCACTTCTTCCTATATTTACATATTTTATCAGAAAGGTTTAAGAGTACTGAGACTTTGATGTCAAATTGCTGGAATTTGTAAGTATACTAATCTATGTGGAAAAGAGACATTTTCATTTTAAAATGTGAATTCCACAGTTACTGATTTCCAGGTACAAATAACTAAAGTAATAAAGTCCATTTCTATGTCATTTCATAGCATATAAAGAATTTTTAAAAAATATCTTTAACAAAAAAGGACTTCAGATATCACTTGGTTAATTTCATAAGTTGCATCCTTTTGCAAATATGAATACTACATCAATGCAGCTAATAAATGATAAAATAAATCTTATATTTGTTTAAAATGTATCAAGGCAACGCTGAATCACTTTTTTAAAAATTAACTTTTTATTTTGAATAATCATATATTTTCATAAAAGATGCAAAGATAACACGGTGATCTCATATACAATACTTATTGTTTCCCCAAATGTTAACATCTTACATTCCAATAGACTACTTATCAAAAACTAAGAAACCAACATGTTTGCTGTATTACCATTAACTGAACTCTAGACTTCATTCAGATTTCACCTGTTTTTCAACTCTCTTTTCTGTTCCAGGATCCAATCTATAATATCACATTATACTTAGCTAAATCACTTAGAAAAGTAGTAACTTCCTAAATTTCAAAGAAATAAAAAGAAGCACTTCCTTACCTGCTCTACGCCAAAATTTCATGTGTTTAATTCCAGCTGTAATCAATTTATCAGGCACGTAGGGGTTCATCTTTACGACAAAAATCTTATCTTTACTGCCTCTGAAATAAATACCAAAATGTTTGAATTCTAAGCTAAACCTCTCCTGTGATAATCTGCCTAATCCATACCCTATCTCGATTCCCCCATTACTCAATGGTTGGCCCACATGACTCTCAGGTTTGGGCTATGTAATCATGCATTTGTACCTAAATTATTTCATCATTATTTTAATTTACTATTAACTCTAATCAGCAGAATCTTAAAAGAAAGGAACAGTTAAAATTTGACTTCTTTTGCATGATACCTACTATATAACACTATGCATTGGAAATGCTATTTGTGGCATGAATGAATTAAAGATAATTTAAAAAAATATTTTGCTCTAGCTTAATATAGCCTTTCCAAATACAAAGTTGCTCTTAAACTATCTTTTATTTGGGCATTGTCTATATACTCTAAAAAAAAGCATTTTTCTGTATTCTCTTAATGCTTTAATGTCTTACTTTGAGGAACAAAAAGTTAAAAAAAGATAATCTGACACTTGACTATTTCCTACTTCAAAGAAATTAATATTTTTTATTATTAAAATACAAGCTCATTATAGAAAATTTAGAAAATGAAAGTAACAGAAAAGATTTAAAAATCTATAACCTCTTTGTGAATTGTGTGTATGTATATATCTTCTTTCACACAAATATATAATATGAGCATTTTATCATGCTTTCCAATAGCTACGCAATAGCTTATCATACAGAATTCACTCTACCTGTAAATGGAAATTTTAGATAATAGCTATTTCCAATGTCATATTACATGTACATTAGTCTTTTTACTATGATTGCATTACTTATTCAATGATGAAAAAGATGGCAGTGATAGAAAAAGGTTAGGTTTCCTTGATTTCAAAACTATTTTAATTTTTTTAAATTTTAAGCCCAAAGTAATTTCAGTATTTTGCAATGTACTATCAACCTTTTCCCTACCTTGCTATTGAAAGTTTCTCGCCTTTCTTCCAGTCCCACAGCACAACAGTGTGGCTCTCATCTATTCCAACCGAAGCCAAACGTTTCCCATCCGCTGACAATTAATCAGAGAAACATGCTGACCATTAAATTCAGAAGATAAAAACCATCCAGTACATAAAAATCACAGCATCATATTTAAACTTTTATAAAAAATGTGAAATGCTAGGTATACATACAGCTATAAAAAACACACACCAGAATTTATAAGGAGAGGAGAATTATTTCTCAATGCATATCTGCTGACATTTTCTCTCATTTCATTCACCTTACCCCCCAGGATGAGATGGGGGAAAGGAAGAAGATTAGAAAAGTGGGAAAAAAAGATTTAAAAAATGAGAAGGAAAAACTAAGAAAGAAGAAAGGAAAAAAACATTCACTTCAACTAAATTCACCATAAGAACTCTATCCCATATAATAAAAGGGTAATATGCAAATTAACCCTCATGGCAGAATGACCTGGAATGACCAGTCGCTATGACGCACACTGACCACCAGGGGCACACTCAATGCAGGAGCTGCCCCTGGGTGGTCAGTGCACTCCCACAGAGGAGCTCTGCTCAGCCATAAGCCGGGCTAATGGCTGCGAGTGCAGTGGCGGTGGCAGGAACCTTTCCCACCTCCTTGGAAGAGCTAAGAATGTCCAACTGTGCCTTAGGCCAGAGAAGTGGGCCTAACCCATCAGTCGGACATCCCCCAAGGCCTCCCAGGCTGCCGGAGGGATGTGTGAGTGCCAGCTTATGCCCGATCCCCTAGGGAGCGAGCCTAACCTGGCAGGTGAACAACCCCTGAAGGCTCCCAGGCTGCCAGAGGGATGTGTGAGAGCCAGCTGAGGCCTGATCCCCTGGGAAGCAGGCCTAAGCTGGCAGGTGGACATCCCCCGAGGGGTCCCGGACTGCAAGAGGGTGCAGGCCAGGCTGAGGAATGCCCTCCTCCCCAAGTGCACAAATTTTCGTGCACCAGGCCTCTAGTTTATATATATAAAAGCCTAAGTGACCATTACGACTAGACAACCAGATGATCGGCCAGCAGCTATGATATGCACTGACCACCAGGGGGCAGATGCTCAATGCAAGGGCTGCTCCCTGGTGGTCAATGTGCTACCACAGCTGACCTCCTGTGGCCAGCCAACCTCCTGCGGTCCCTCCCTCTGGCCGGCTCTGATTGGGACTGGGCGAGATGGCCCCCGTCAGCCAGGAGGGACCCCACCCATGCACAAATTTGTGCACTGGGCCTCTAGTTGTAATATAAAGACTCACAGTGATTATGAAAAGTTAATCAAGTGAAAAAGATGTATTTACAGTCACATATTGCCATTAATATGACTATTTTTAGTAAAGACCAATTATTTTGTTATATCATCAAGCAACAAGTAATAAATGTGTCAGACAAATGACTGAGGTAAGTTAGTCAAGCTGACAGGTGTGCATGTGTTTATAAGTTATAAAGGCTCAAACTGCAAGAAAATGTTTGCCACTCTGCCATACTTTTAAAAATATATTTTTTATTGAATTTTAGAGAGAGAGGAAGAGAGAGAGAAACATTGACAGGCTTCCTCCTACATGCTCCCTACCAGGGATTAAATCTGCAACCCAGGCATGTGCCCTGACTGGGAATCTAGCTGGCAACCTTTAGGTGCGCGGGACTATGCCCAACCAACTGAGCAACATTGGCCATGGCTCTGCCATGGTTTTGAAAACCCCAACCAGTTCATTATCACAACCAGGGGTATTTTTCCTGTTGACTCCCTGGTTTGCCATTTATTCTCTTACTAGAGGCTCGGTGCACGAAATTTGTGCACTGGAGGTGGGGGGGGGGGCGGTGTCCCTCAGCCCAGCCTGCACCTCTCCAATCTGGGATCCCTCTCACAATCCAGGACTGCTGGCTCCCAACTGCTCTCCTGCCTGCCTGCCTGATAACCCCTAATCACTCCCCTGCCAGCCTGATTGGTGCCTAACTGCCCTCCCCTGCTGGCCCAGTCGCCCCCAACTGCCCTCCCCTGCCAGCCCGGTTGCTTCCAACTGCTCTCCCCTGCAAGCCTGGTTGCCCCCAACTGCCCTCCCCTGCCAGCCCGGTTGCTTCCAACTGCTCTCCCCTGCAAGCCTGGTTGCCCCCAACTGCCCTCCCTTGCCAACCCGGTTGCCCCCAACTGCCCTCCCCTGCTGGCCTGATTGCCCACAACAGCCCTCCCCTGCCGGACATCTTGTGGTGGCCATCTTGTGGACACATGGGGGTGGCCATCTTGTGCGAGGGCATGATGGTCAATTCAGGCATATTACCTCTTTATTATATAGGATTTCTTGACTTGTAGCAGATCCCAGAATGTGTATATACTTTTTCCGCAAAAGTCTCCACTATGAATAATTCAATTATCACTTTAGTCAAAGCAGCAGAAAGCACAAATTGACTGTTTCTTAATATAAAATTCTCTATTAATGGCACCCCATTTCCTGATCCACAGCCTAGCTTTCCTTGTACATCTGTTTTCGTATTGTGAGCTATCTATAATTGTTAAACTTTTACATGTACAACAGACCTAACATGATCTGAAATTATTTAGATAAGACAGCTTGGAATTGTCATTTCATAGAAATGTTATAAAAGAAATATTTCAGGTCTCACCTCTTTCTTAGCTTTCACCCTAAACATTTTCAAAGTCTACTCTGTGGCTATGACATCGAGGTCAGTCTGCCCAAAGGGGGAGCTATATACTGCTAGTGATTGAGATAATTTTAGACGTTACACAAACATTTTTATTTTAATAGAAACATATTTATGTTAATGGGTATCAGAAATTATACTCATTGAATTATAATTACAAAATAGCCAGAAAACCCACACTAATTGGTCCTAACTGGTCAGGAAAAGAATATGCACATTTGGCAGATCTAAGAAACAATGATTTAGACTAAAATGCTATGTATTGTCTCTGCATTTTTATCATTCTTACTGAGATAGAAAACGGCCTTACCTGAGAAATCAACAGCACAGACACCATATTGGTGGTAGCCCTTTAATATAGACAATGGTTTAATGGTCTCTGTATCCCATATGTGAACTGAGGGATCCCTACCTACCTACAATAGAAAGAATTATAAGTTATTTTATACAAATTATTTATTTTTATATCTTTCTAAGAGGAAATAAAACAGATTTTATATAATCTTTTTTGTATTTGCTATTGACATTTATCAAATGAAAAACATAAATTAGACTGTATATGTGACTATTTTTCTGATGTTTGTTGAAGAGCTAATAAGGCTAGGCTCAGTGTTCCTAGCAATATCCTAGGACTATGTGACTCTAAATCTTATCTTATGCTTCACCAATAAAGATAGTGTGACTGGGCACCTACTATTGGCAGTGTTCCTATGAGAGATATAGTTAAGCACTAAGATCTTAAGGTATTTTCACACTCAACTGTGTGCAACAAGGTATTTTCACACTGTGGGACAAGAAGATATTTTCAGTTAAATAAGAACATCTGGTAATATATGCTTAATGAAGATGAAAATGTTGGGAAGAAAATCATGGAAGAGATGATACTTGACTTGGGCCTTGCAGGTCTTGAATAAAAGAGAAGCAAGCACTTCTAGCCTCGTACAATGGTGTAAGCAAGGATCAGAGGGGTTAAAGCACCAAGCAGGTACACAAGGCTCTGAATAAACAATTTCACTGCAGCACTCTATCACCTACCTTTTAATTTGGTTTATGACGTTTGCTAAAGCACAGGAAAACTATCAATCCCCTCCCCCTCCAAAGAAGTGCCTTTATTTACCGAGCTTAGGAAAGGAAAAGAAACTAGAAAAAGGAAATTTCAAAACAGGTCTTTAGTGAGGGCCCAGGTGCAGTGAGTGGTGGGTCCAGCTGGAGTCTTGCCCTCACTGGTGGTCACTTCCTGGGTGAGAGAACAGTTCTCCCCCATTCTCTCTACCTGTCCCCTTTGGGCCCTCGCGACTGGCCGGAACGACTTCTCATCTCGGTCAGCCCTGTCGCCCTGCGTCAGCTTTCATCGTACAGAGTTTCATAATTGCCAAGAACTTCCTTTTGGGAGGACTTGCTCCATTTACAGTCTGGAGTTTCACCATTAGGGACCACAACATTGAGGGTGTTGTTAATCTGGTTATACTTAAGGATGTGATCCTGGAGGTGAGAGATGGCCACATGCTAACCTCGATCGGCCAGGGCTTCAGTCCGTTGTCTATGAGGAGCCATATAGCATGATGCCAGTTGCCCAGCACCCCACCCAAATTATATCCTAGGAAGTATATTTACACAGTGTTTGAAGCTGGACAGAATAAGGGCTTTACTACTTATTAGTTGAAAATTATTTCATTTCTTTAATCCTAAACTTAAGCATTTATACACTGGAGAAAGTGGTTTCACTCTCCTTGAGGTGAGAATAAAATAAATATACTTTAAGAAACTAGTAAAGTTCTGACATACAGTAAGAATCTATAAACATTACCCCTTTTCTTTTTTTTAATATATATTTTATTGATTTTTTACAGAGAGGAAGGGAGAGAGATAGAGAGTTAGAAACATCGATGAGAGAGAAACATCGATCAGCCGCCTCCTGCATCTCCCACTGGGGATGTGCCCGCAACCAAGGTACATGCCCTCGACCGGAATCGAACCTGGGACCCTTTAGTCCACAGGCCGACGCTCTATCCACCGAGCCAAACCGGTTTTTGCAGCATTACCCCTTTTCATCCTTCTCTAAGAATGTCTATATAGAGAGGTATCAGTTAAGGCTTATCTTAGTGTTTTCTATTTCAATATTTCTGCTTTGTACTTTGGTAAACTTGAAGAGGTTCCTATCATGGTTGTAAAACAAAAGCATACTGATCCTGTCTGTCATAGAACATTTGTTAGGTAACTTATTATAGTATTTTAGATAACCTAAATAAACTGTATTTCTAGTCTTTATGTTTTCTGTAATTTTTACTCACAAATTTTTAAAAATTAATATCCTCACAGAAAGAGGATAAGCCAGAGCTTTTTAGTTCCAAATTCAAATTAAAATAACAATAACTAAACCTCTAAGGAAAACTGTAGGGGAAAAGTTAGGGTAGATTTTATTTGTAATATGAAAATAAAATCCCATTCTAAAGAATTCTTCACTATTTTTTTTTTTTTGTTCTCAATCCTCACGTGAGGATTTTTTTTTCATTTGTTTTCCAGAGAGAGTGGAAAGGAGAGGGAGAGACAGAGAGAAACATCAATGTGAGAGAGATACATCGACTGGTTGACCAGAATCGAGCCCACAACCCTTCAGTCCACGGGCCAACGCTCTAACCACTGAACCAAACCGGCTAGGGCCGTAATTCTTTACTCTTTATTTCCTAGAATACAAAAGATAGATTTTTAAAAAGTGGACTTACCTAACTTTAAAGCCAAACAAAGGTCTATCCTATCTGACCTGTTATAACAGTTTTTCAGAGGACCTACCTGGCCTGTTGCCACATAGTCTTTCAAAGGATGGATAGCCAGGCAGAGAATATCATCATCATGACCCAGGTAGAAGCGCTGTGTGTTCTGTTGTCGATTATAAATGACACCCACTGCTGCCACATGGTACACAATTTCACCAATTTGAGTATAAAACAGATTACTTCGACAGTCATAACCTCTGTAACTAAACATAGAAAACATATAACATGAACTTTGGCCTTTATCTGATAAATATGGACTATATAAAGGAAAAGGAGGTATACCTTTTGGGTCATTCAATTTCTAATTTTATAAGATACTAAGCCATTAAAACAAAATACAAAATCTCAGGTCACATAAACTTTTATGAACTGCTCTAATTACAAATAGCTAAATCCAAGCTACACTATTGAATTTAAAAAAAACTCAAGGTGGAGGTAAATAGTACACTACTAGTTGCATTTAAGTACAGTATTAAATTTGCATATAATAAAACAAAAATAGATGCTTTTTATAAGTGAAAGGGTACAGAAAAGAATATATATTTGTATATTGTCTGTACATGCATAAATATTTCTGGAACTAAGTAACAGTGGTTGTTCTTGGTGCAGGGAAATGATGGCTGGAGAGCAGGGGGGGGGGTGGAGGAGTTTTAAAGTGTACTCTTTTATACACATTGTTGAACTATGAGAATATAATATATATTCAAAAAATAAATTTAAGCAATTTTAAGATATTATACTCATCTGGAAAAAAGTAGTCAAATCTTCCTAAAATGGTTATTACAGTTCCATTTATAGCAACCTTTCTTTGCACGTCAAAGAAAATCAATTCATAAAATATAACTGCATGGCAATACTGCCTATTACCATGGGAGAAAAAATACTTTTGCTAAATAAATCCTTTTTGAAATTCTTGAAAGCACTATCACTGGGTGAGGAGAAAGAAAAGAGTTGGATTGGAGAATCTGTTGTTCCAGGATGAAAGGTGAGACCTGTACCGCCAAACGTTCTCAGGCAACCCATAAACGGTATTTTATCGAAATTAAAATTTGAAGGCCAAAATGCTCAGGCCAATTGAATCCACAATATCATTCCAAATTAGACATATGTAGAGGTGATGATACTCTCTTACATTTTACTACTCATTTGTTTAAAGACAGGCGATCCATTTCTATAAATATAAAGCTTTCATAAAACAAATTAATTTTTTATTTAATATACACTTACACAGTGCTTATTATGTACCAGACAACTTCTAAGTCATAACTATTTACTTATTTACTCGTCATCAGAACACTATGAAGTAGATACTGTTATTTCCATTTACAGATGGGGAAACAGAGGCACTAAGAGGTTGTGTGACTTGCTCCAAGTCACACAGCTAATAAATGTAAGCCCAAATTCAAACATAAATGAAAAACTGTTGTTTTATACCCATGAACAAAGTGTAATCGAATACTATTTCCTGGAGCCCGCTCTCTTCTTTTAGAAGTGCCACTTTTTTGTTTCTCTTTGTATTGTTCTTTAAGCTGAGGTAGATCTTCTTTGTAAACCTTTAAATAACGTAGAAATGTTTTTAGAATATATATTAACAAAGGTTTTCACAGATTCCTAATGTAACTTTCAGACATCGTGTTTACTACTGATTACTAAAGTTTTAACAACTGTCTTAAATAGGAAGGTACTTTATGAAACTTACTTCCTTGGGAAGAACAAACTAATTTATATTTTCTGTGTAACACTGACAAGTGCATATTTAATGTTCCATGATTTTTTTGTACTTCTTAAGAGAATATTTTAAAGGGAATAAATAGACGTGTACTGTGACAAAAAAGCTATAGGTAAATAAAATACAGGCACACTTAATCTATCAAGCACTTACTATCAAAGAACACTTCACAAAAGTTTAACTCCTAAAGAGGGAAAGCAAATGGCCACATATTTCTTGGAAAATTAAAAACCACAAAAGATAACAGATGAGCAATCAACAGGGAGTTAAGAGGAAAAAGAAACTAGACTTTTTCAGGGAAAAATTACCTGCCGACGGTAAGTGAGCTGTGTCTCTTGTTCAATTTCAGAATCCAGTTCTGGAACATCAGACAGATCTGAATCTGATTCATCACTGTTAGAGTCAGCCAGACTTTCTGTAATTTTAGGAAATGAAACATTATTTGTTTAAGAAAGATCCATTTTCAAAGCAGCACCGTAACAGTAATGATTAAGAGCTGACTGTGCTGACAAGCCATAAACACTCCGATGAAATTCCCCATTCAAGTGACACAGATGTCAGTAAACTGTACTACAGGTTGCCTTCCTCCCCACTCACTGCAAACTCAACAGCTCCTTTAAGTGCCCTCACTCTCCTCAACGACTGCTACATCAAATTTAAATGTCTGTGCAAGTATAAGTGAATGCAATCTATAATTAACATGAAAACAATCTAATCTATAATTAGCTAGAAAATACTATGATTAACAGATGATTGACATTAAATAACTTTTCTTTGGGGGAAAAAAACTATATACAGAACCTAGATACCCATCTCCCATAGAATACATTAAATGTTTGTTCTGCCAATGTAACTGTCTCTTCATCCATCATTTCATAGATTAAAATGCAACCAAATCTACTTTGTATTCCAGGCTCTGTGAAATCTGACTTTAAGCATATAGACCTCATAGTCTAATTTAAAATTTCCAGTAATACACTATACCATAAGGCTAGATTACATTTCAACAGTAAAATGTTATTTGGGGATTACTGAAGAGTTATTTGACAGAGAAATTGTCAGGCAGTGAGTACTGCTACTCACCTTGGGGTGCTATGTGAAGAGCATCTTTTAGTTTTCTTTCAGGAATAAATCTCCACTGAAAGACGGCGTGATCTGCTCCACCGATAGAAATAACCCACTGATGATCATGTGACCATCTGACATTAGTTACGTGAGCCGAATGGCCAATATATTTTCTAAACTTGGCCCCTATAACAAAAATATACCTTTCAGTTGATGAACAAATGCCAACACAAAAAACCACCTCAAAAAATAATTTCTATACCTGAACCAATGCATCCTTCTTCCATTATCTTAATTATGATCAAAGGAAAATGTTAATTCAAAATTTGTTGGATAAACAAATATGAGTCTACATCAAGGATGTAAATCTTTGTTCTACTGATTCACAATATAATTTAATAGGAACCACAGGGCTGGGAGGCATGATCTTACTGCTTTGAAAAAAGCCTGCAAGCCACAAGATCAATTGATTTCATATTAACATATTTGAATGTTTTGCATTGAGGCCTTTGGTCTTAAGTGACATTGAAACCAGTCTACTCCACACCCCACCACTCTCAGCCCCAGCAGCCACAGGATCCTTTTAAAACTTCAGTCATCAACAAAATACTAGCAAACCTAATAAGCAACATATAAAAAGGATTACACAACATGACCAAATGGGATTTATGCCAGGAAAGCATTGGCTGATTCAACATACAAAAACTAATCAATGTAATATGCCACATTAATCAAAATAAAATATGCCCAGTAGTTGTCCCAACAACTGTCCTTTATAGTCATGTTTAAATCTCTACATTTTGTATACTATCCTTCAATATGAGTTTGCCTGGTGTTTCTTCATGATTAGATTCAGATGCCATTTTTGGCATAGGCAGTGTTGGGTCCTTCTGGATCTATCACTTCAACGGGCTCCGTGCTATCACTAATGATGTCAGGTGATATCATCTGGTTAAGGTGGTATGCACCAGACTCTGTCAAGTGTAACGGAATTGTTTTACTTTGTGGTGAGCTTTTTAAAAATGTATAATGGAAACCATTTCTGTGGATCTAAGTTTAGAATACATTCTCCATATCCTGCTTAAATAAATCTGATATTTGGCAACATATACACAATCCTCTTAAAGCACACTGGGTAGTCCAGCCGGTTTGGCCCAGTGGATAGAGCATCGGCCTGTGGACTGAAGGGTCCCTGGTTCGATTCCAGTCAAGGGCACATGCCTGGGTTGTGGGCTTGATCCCTAGAAGGGGGTATGCAGGAGGCAGCCAATCAATGATTCTCTCTCATCATTGATGTTTCTATTTCTCTCTCCCTCTCCTTTCCTCTCCGAAACAAAAACATTAAATAAATAAATAAATAAATAAATAAATAAATAAATAAATAAAGCACACTGGGTATATAAGGTTTGGCTTCATTTTGATAATATTTTAAAAGTTTTATGTTAAGTTACAGAAGGCCTGAATTACTTATGGATGCACTTTCACATGCATCTAGGAAGCGAACACCTCATAGGCAGGGATCAACAACATGGCACAGCTGGCAGCACCTGGAACTCACCACTTTAGAGGCACCACAGAAATAATCAGCCTAGGCTTTGAGGAAAACTGGGCCCTTATGTTGGAATCAATGGACTGCTTATTTGAATAAAACTATTTCAGCTGTTCCCATAATCACCTTTTACTAAAACTGCATTTAACAGTTGTCCAAAGCTTTTAACAACCAGATTAAAATTATTACTGCATCTGCTATAGATGGTAATGCTCTAGAAATACACTCACTGCACCTAATATAAAGCCCCATACAACAGGAGAGCGCTCTTTGTAAATTCAAACCTCTAAAGAAATTTTGCTTTCCCTGAGTAGCAAGTATGCTTTTTTAAAAATATAGCTAAAATTAACTTGGTTTCCAGGAAGCTCACATTTCATTTTGATATTTGATTACTATTGTTTTCTTTATTTCTTTTTTACTGATGTGAGAGAGAAACATCGATTTGTTGTTCCACTTATTTACGCGTTCATTGATTCTAGTATGTGCCCTGACTGGGGAAGCAAACCTGCAATCTTGGTTCATCAGGATGACGGCCAAACTAAGTGAGCAATCCAGCCAGGGTCTACTGTTATTTTTTTATCTGGTTTTAATACTATGGTATTTGCTCTGGTACTAATATTTTATTCATACAATTATTTTAGTACTTATGGGCCTGTTATAAGCTGACTCAAATACTTTATGGAACAAGGCATGAAATAAATGACAAATACAGAATTTCATTTATTCCCCAGGACTATGAAAAAAATGATTAATATCATCATTTTAGAAGATACCCAAGAAAAAGAGACGATATATAAAAATAACCCCTTATATCTTAAGAGCAAAATAAAGTAATGAAACAGGAACAGACTCATAGATACTGAGATCAGACTGACGGTTGACAGAGGGGAAGGGGGTTGAGGGACTGGGCAAAAAAGGTGAACGGATTAAGTGCAAATCGGTAGTCACAAAACAGTCACAGGGGTGTAAAGTACAGCACAGGGAATAGTCAATATTGCAATTACTTTGTACAGTGCCAGGTAGGTACTTGAAGTATCGGGGGGGGACCACTTTGTAAAGTATATGACTGTCTAACGGTTAGACTCTAACCACTATGCTGTACACCTGAAACTAATTACAAAGCAATATTAAATGTAAACTATAATTGAAAAATATTTTATTTTTTGTTAATGCTCACCTGAGGATATTTTTTTCCATTGATTTTTAGAGAATGGAAAGAAGGGAGGGAGGGGGACAGAGAGAGAGAAAGAGGGAAAGATCAATGTGAAAGAGACACATCATTGCTGCAACCCAGGCATGTGCCCTTGACCAGAAAACTGAATCTGTGACCCTGTGGTGCGTGGGCCGCTACTCTAACCACTGGCCAACACCAGCAAGGACTATAATTGAAAAAAACTTTAAATGACTCAATAAATGAATAAATCACTGCCTTCAAAGTAAAAAAAAAAATAACCCCTATTTCCCCCCATGATTATAGAAAGTAAACAAATGGCAAACAACATATATTAAGGATTAAAAGGAAAACACACTCGCATGTGAGACCAACCAACAAATGAACAGATTCCAAACTATGACATGAACTTGTACAGTTCACTACTTCATCAGAATTCTTGAGAAAAAGACATAAGAAAATGTCACCTAAAAGATATATGTTCAACGAGTTGCATAAATAAAGATAATAAACCATAAGAAAAGAATAAACATCAGTGTACAGTCTGACAATATGAAGCAATTCTGGAAGTGGGAAGAAAAAGAAAGAGATAAAGTATTAGTCCATTCATAATATATGAATTCAAAAATAATTTTCTAATAAAAATGTCATGTGAAAAAAAGTAACATGGCAATAATTTTTAATTAGCAAAATAAAAAAGCAGCTAATTTTGTCTATTTTAATGCAACTTCACCAAATTATCAATGCACATATTTTCAAAAATATAAACCCTCTATTTATCTCAAGACTAACTTTTTTGCAAGAACTTAAAAGTCCTATAAAATAGTACTTTGAAAGAAAAATTACCTTTTCTTAAACAAGGATATCGAAATAATTTTACAATTCCATAGTCATCAGCTGTAACTAAAACTTGTCCAATATAGTTTCCATCTACTGAATTTATATCATTAATATCTGAATACTTGGGCCAAATTCCATTTACTTCAAGGCCTGAAACACATGTCCATGAAGCCCAGTGAACACCTTTTGTTTCATCTTTATTTGTCACTTCTTTACCTCCTAAAAAGAAATCAGTCTTAATTTAGTAAGTTATTTCATTTGATTTTTACTAAAGCATAAATTGTATTGATATCATGGTAAACTCCAAAACTTTTAATAGCTTCCCACCCTGCTAGGTGGCTCACTTGGTTGGATTGCAGTCCTGTACAAAAGGTGGTCAGGGCACATACCTAGGTTTCGGATTTGATCCCCGGTCAGGGGGCATACAAGAGGCAACCAACTGATGTTTCTTGCTCACATTAATATTTCTCCCTTTTTCTTTCTCCCTTCCTCTCTCTGGGAAAAAAAAATCACCTAAAAAAAAAAACCCCCACATGTCTGTGGGTGAGGAATTAAAAAAAAAATTAAATAGCCTCCCACTCCACTTAAAAATAGAACCCATGAACATGTTTGTAAATATGGTAAGAAGAGAGAATAAAATGCTAGAAATTTTTAAAAAGCCAAAATTATACTGATTCAGAGACACACACAGATTTAACTGGATGCAGCTTAGAAGGTTCACCATGTGAAGAATAAAACTATACCCTATTAAAGTCATGCTACAGATTAGTCACAACAGGGTAAGTTAGAAGAAAGAGCAAAAGCTCTAAGAAAATGACAAATCAAGTATTCAAAAAGAAACCTAAGAAGGTACATGGTTGAGAAAAAGAGAGCTTTTGAAAAGGACTGGGAGGGAAAAACGAGTGGGAAGTAATACATTTACATTAGGTAGCAGGACTTTAGGATTGATTCAATGTTCATTACATACAGATTGTTAGTAAACACTATTGAGATGCATTAATTTAATTATGTAGTTGTATCAAATTAATTATTGCAAAAGTGACTAATTCACTATCATACTAAAGAACTAAGAATATTTTGCTCTGTTTTAAATCTCTTTTTAAATCTTTGATGAAAACTTTTTCAAATTTAATTTATTAGCTTATTAATATTGGCAACCACAAATACCCAAACAACTTAAGGTTAGACATTTGTAGCAATTACATAGAAGTTCCACAATAAAAATTGCATTTTTGACTTCCTAACACACACAAGGACTTTACCATATACTGGTACAATGTACATGGTATGGAATTCAACAAAGGTTCTAGATCAAGCATGTCAAACTCAGAGCTAACATGGGCCAAATAAACGAGGTATGTGGCCCACAGGCCACGAGTTTGACATGCTTGTTCTAGAGCCTCTAAGCCAGTGGTTCTCAACCTGTGGGTCGCCACCCCTTTGGGGGTTGATCGACCCTTTCACAGGGGTAGCCTAAGACCATCGGAAAACACATACATAATTACACATTGTTTTTGTGATTAATCACTATGCTTTAATTATGTTCAATTTGTAACAATGAAATCGGGGGTCACCACAACATGAGGAACTGTATTAAAGGGTTGTGGCATTAGGAAGGTTGAGAACCACTGCTCTAAGCAATAAAGCTTTAATTAAGAACCAAAAAGACTTCAATTAATTAGGGCAGCCTTATGGAAAAGATCATAATGTCCAAAATATTAACTCAGGTCTTCACTGATTTCTTATAGTCAAATATAACTGAACTCTGTTTCTAGTGAAATCCTAGGATAATTTACAGGCACTAAAAATCTATAATTTGTGAATAATGTATTAGAAATTTTTACCTGGCATCCTATAAAAAAGTCTTTTACCATTTCCATCATTAGTCTGCAAGTATCTACTGTCTGAGGACCAGTCCAGATGAGTGATGAAACTAAGTGATCCCACACATTCCCCCATTTTTTTGTAACGCTGAGAAACTCCATAAATATCAACTGAGCTGTCGTTGCATCCAACAGCAAGGTAAGTTCCATCTGGTGAATATTTTAACTCATGAATTGCCTCTTTCCTATCTTTAATATGTACAACTTCCGTCATATCTCTGTAAAGAAAAAAAAAACATTAAACCATATGAAAAAAGTCACTATAGAATTAGTTGTTTCCAAATGTGTGTAAAATGACTGTGAGGCTGTATCAAATATTCATAAACAATAAAATAAATGTGAGACAAGTAGTATTAAGGAATAATTATTTTGCTGAACAGAAATATATAAGTACAATATAGTTTGAAACAGGTGAAAAATGCTAAATTTCATTTCCTGAATTACTTCAAGCAGTTTAGAGATTCAGATTAACTTTATGGAGCCATACAATAAAGGAAATAAAGTCGTAAAATTTTATGTTGAAAGAGGAGTCAGCATCTATACAAACTCAGAAGTACAAGAGAAGAGGATGTGTCTGAAAAAGCAAAAGATGTTTTATACATGTTCCAAGAAAGAGATTGAGGTAGAAAGAATAGGCTGGAGAGATGGGCATTTCAGTCTATGTTAACTACGGATTATGAATTTCATCCTAAGGACAGTCCAAAGCTTTTATGTACTTCAGAAAGAGGAGGGATGCAAACAAATGTGTTAGGCATCACTATAGCTGTAGGATGAAAAAGGTTTTAAGGTAAGTAAAACAGGAGGTAAGGAGACCAGCTGAAATACCATTCCACCAAACCAGGGAGGCAAAAGGAAGAAATGAATTAATGGTTTCTGGATTGGGCGGTCCTCACCAAGACAACAGTGTGGTGAATGCCGGAGGGGAGGTGGGGGAGGAAAGAAGGGGATAAATGATGATGGACAGAGACGTGTACAGAGACGTGATGTGAAATAGGATTGTGCACCTGAAGCCCATATAATTTTGTTAATCAGTGTCACCCCAATAAATTCAATAAAAAGATTTCATAAATACTTATCTATACCATATCTATAATTCAACACTAGATGTTAATTGCTTTAACAAATTCTTCAAAGTAGACCCAAACAAAGGAAAAACAGAAGGAACTTTTTTCAAACAACAAAGCCATTCAGCCATTTTTAAAGGCTCAATGTCCATCCCACCCCCTTCAATGACAGAGGAGCATTACTGAAAATCACTACCACCAAGGAATTAAAAGTCAGGACCCAAATTTAGAGTTCAAATTTTAGCCATTAATCTATTAAGCATTCTTAACCCCCAAACCAAAGGTTCTGAGTTAACTTAATTTTCTGACAAAGCATTTTATAAATATAATTTTATATTTAATGAAACTAATACCGGAAATATATGTTAATTAAAAAGGAAATGGGTAAAACAGTAAGTATTAGAAAATTACTATCTGCTTCTGTTTCTCCCCTAATACCATACCTTACTCTAAGTACAGTGAATGAGCCATCCTTCATTCCAAGGGCAAGATGGATTCCATCTACATTTACAGCTGCACAACGAATTGGTTCTTCCATATTACACCTTGCTATTAATGCATGATCTACTAGGCTCCATATCCTGTAACATTTAATTAAAATATAAGAATAGTTAACTGGTGTATGCTTAAAAAATAGACTCTATGAAAACATTTTGGTTAAAATAATAATCTCATTTTAAGATAAATCTAGATTTTAACTGTATACTTCATGGAATTCTTATCCATGAAAACAGAAATACTGTTTATGCTTAAAATGACAAGAGGGGATAGAATCTTTTATTTTGAAACAATGTAATGACATTAATTTTTTAAATAGATGATTTCTACCCTGATCAAAGGGAAGATCTAGATATAATATAGTGGTACATGGCATATACTTTGTATATAGTCTTTCAAATTAAGACTATGCAAATTGAGTCTATTCCAGACTCTAATGTTAAAAATCTACAACAAAAATGTAAAAAGAAAATACCCATTGTTTGAAAATTAAGAATTATACTTCCCAGTAACCTAAAGGACAAAGACAAAATCCTAATGAAAAGTAGTTACTCTTTTGAAGTAAGTTATTACAAACTTGTTTTATATCAAAACTTATGGGATACAGCTGACACAGTACTTAGGAGGAACTTTGCAGATATTATAAAAACAAAGGCAGCAACTTAATGAACAGGCATCTACCCCAAAAGGTTAGGAAAAGATCAGTAAAACTAAGTAGATTCTTAAATGTTTTTCTAGCAGCATCTTTTAAAAAAAACTATTCTGTGTGTTGCTGTCTTATAGGAAAAATGATTCTGTATATTTTTATATATCCAGGGAAATTTGCTAAATTCTTTTTAATTCCAATTATTTCTCTGTATCTTCCTTTCAATTTTCTACATATACAATCATAATACCTATAAATGAGAGTTGTTTCTTCTCTTACAGTCCAAATATCTATATCACCCTATACATAAACACATAAATAGTATATCACGCATATATATTTGGCCCTGCTGTGCTAACAAAGACTTTTACTCTACAGCTGAATATAATGGTGAGAGTGGAAATCATTGTCTTCCTGATTTCAAAGGAAAAACTTCAAAGTTTTAATATATATACCACATGACAGACATATGATAATTACTGAAGACTTTCTATGTTCTACCACAGGGATCAGTAAACCAGAGCTGGTGGGTCAAAGGGGGCCCACTGCCTGTTTTTGTACAGTCTGCAAACTAAGAAGTTTTCTTTACATGTTTAAATGGTTGAAAAAAATTAACAGAATAACATTTTGAGACATGAGAAAATCATATGAAATTCAAGTCAAAATCAAATCCGTAAATCAAGTTTGATGGAAACAGCCACATTTATTTGTTTACATATTGTCTATGGCTGCTTTTACACTACGGAGGCAGTGCTGAGTCGCCCACTGCAAAAGAGACGGCAGACAGTGTGTGACATATCACTTTGCACACTCCTTCAGCGCACTAAATTGACAGCTATACTTTGATAGAATTTTGAGTGCCACCTATATTATCATATGGTGACAATATATTATTTTTAATTTCTAGTACATACCCATCCATGTCAGAACAAGAAAAACAAAACAAAACACAGAAAAGTAGCCGAAACCGGTTTGGCTCAGTGGATAGAGCTTCGGCCTGCGGACTGAAGGGTCCCAGGTTCGATTCCGGTCAAGGGCATGTACCTGGGTTGCGGGCATATCCCAAGTAGGAGATGTGCAGGAGGCAGCTGATCGATGTTTCTCTCTCATCGATGTTTCTAACTATCTCTCTCCCTTCCTCTCTGTAAAAAATCAATAAAATATATTAAAAAAAAAAAAGAAAAGTAAACTTTGAGTACTGCATTTTTAAGGCACATTTTTAAAGCTAATTACAAATTATACTGTTACTGAATTAGTAAAGCATTGTGTTTATTTTGCAATGACACGATAGCTTTTTAAAAAGAATACAAATATGTGTTATTTTCAGACTAAGCGCTCATCACAATATGTTCAACTCACAGGAAACCAATGGTCAGAAAATTTAAAACAAAATATCTCATTGCAGAATTTCTTTAAAATTAAAATGAGGTTTCCACAAAAGTAAGTTTCTGAGTGGCTCATTTGTTAGGCAAGCAAAGAAAACTGTTTATTGGTAAAGGATTAACTAAATTATTTTGAATGGCAGCAGCTGAAGAAATGTGTCTGGAGAAAATAAAAGTAAGACTATTAGCTTTTTGGTGAGAACAGTTTGCTCAAGGAGATGATGAGAGTGTTGGGAACAACACCAACAACTAATTAAAAACAAGGAAAATAATTTTAAGTGGCTGGTTTTCCTTGAATTTTGATAAATCCACAGATGTTACGGATACTACTCAGTTGTTTACTTGAGGTGCCAATGCCAAGTTTGCAGTGATAAACAAATAGCTTCTATGAACAGTCTGTGTGGAATAACTGTAGGCTAGAATATTTTTAAAGGCATTAGTGAGAAAGCACTAATCTGACACCACATAAAGTGGAATCAAATGGTGGTAAAAATATGGGGGGAAATGCTTCAGACTAGTTTATAAAGCCTGTGAAAACAGCCAGGTGTTTCTCCAGTAAAATGGGTTTATTTGACTACAAAGAAGAATTGTAACTGGAACATGTTGTCTAATGGTGAACCACACACAGTCCAGAGAAACAAAGGAGAGGAAACTCATTTATAAAGGAGAAGAAGCTGTGAGAGCTGTTATAAAACAGAGCTGTTCCCACCCTGGCACGGGTGGCTCAGTTAGTTGGAGCAAGTATTGGTACCCCAAAGGACCCGGGTTTGATTCCCAGATAGGGCACATACCCAGGTTTTGGGTCCATCCGCCTACAGGAGGAAACAGATCAATGTTTCTCTCTCTCTTTCTCTCTCCCTCCTTCTCCTTTCCTCTCTCTCTGAAATTAGTAAAAATATATTTTTTAAAAAACCCACAAAATAAAAAAAATTCTTCCTGTTGTTCTCCTTGACCCCGGGGAATGAGAGCTCCCCCTTCTGGCCTCCTAACTTCATTTTAAATGAGGTTTCTGTTTATTAATTCTTACAAAGCCTACGTATTCATTGTATTATTCTTTAGCAAGTATTCAGCAAAAAAAAATTTTGAACTGTTTCTTTGAACCAATAGTGATAACCCTGAGCTTCATTTGCGCTTGTGGATCTAACCTCCATTTCTGTCAGTAATAGAAGTGAAAAACTCAAACTTGCACTGCTAAACAGCAGTTTAATGGCTTAGCAGTGATAAGTTTTTATTGTATTTTGATCTCAGAGCCAAGAATGAAATTTTTCTGAACCAGAACTGCTCTCAATTACTATTATTAAACACTGAACAGTGGCATTGGAAATTAGCTTTTGCTACAGATTTGATACTGTTTCTTAATGAATTCAATCTAAAATTATAAGGCAAAAGCAGCCTTTATATGTGCAGCCAGTACTGTGGTGAAGTTATCTGGACAACAATTTATTGTTGAATAAATTACAGCATATCCATGCAATGGAATATTACAGGATATTAAAAAGGTGGAGGTAGCTCTGTATATTTTGAAATGGAACAACTCCAACTTAATGTTTTTTAATGGGAAAAAAACAAATCTTATAGTTAATTCTATTAATTTTTAAGTGCCTCTTAATTATGTTCATTTGTTATATCACAAAAGTTGACAAAATTTAAATGTATTTTTAAAAAGTTTTTCTTATGTTTAAGAACAAATTCCAGCCTACACTATTATTTTATAATTGGCTTACCTGACTGAACGATCATCACTTCCAGTCACGGCCAAAGGTTTTGTAGGATGGATGGCAAGTGCCCAGAGTTCACCCTCACAATGCCCTTGCATAATTAGGAAGGGTTTCTTTCTTTCATGCACCACAATTTCAAAAATTTCACTGTCCTGTGTTCCAACTAGAATGTGGTCACCTCGCCAACAAACACTCCTCACAGACAAACCTAGTCAAAAGTGAATTGTATTTAAGAGCAATGCTGTAATAATAGAATTCCGATGGCCTAAACTGGTATTAATTTTTATACCTTTCTATACCTTAGATGTAAGATAAAAGAAATCTGTAAATCTCTGTTCCATACATCTTTTTCAATTCTCTGTATTGTTTTCTATATGGAATACTTCTCTTTTTATTATTATTATTATTATTTTAATTCTCACCCGAGTATGAGGTTTAAAAAATTTTTTAATGAAAAAAGAAAAAGAGACTTCTACTTTTACTGTATACTTCACAATTCCTTTTGTAGCCTGGGGAAAGCTGATGTTTCTCTCAGTTTTCTTATCTATACATTACGACCAACATAGAGGTGCTGTGTACAGTTTCCTCCAACCCTTGACACACTTTCTTTTCAACAGTTTATTTGCTAAAGTTACATCTAGCATTCTAATAGTAAAATCGTTTCAAGACCCAAGGTTACCAAGTAAGTATCTATCACATCTCTCGTTAGGTCCATTATAACAGTCATCAGATATGAAAGAATCTTTGTCGTAACAGTAAACCTAGACTGGCTTTAGGCAAAATTTCTCTTCAACAGAAAAATTCCAATGAAATGTATACACTGTGAACGGGCAAATGTCTCATTATATTTATAAAACATACATTCATGCTTCCTGAAACAGACAATCCTAGGTAAATTTAGAATTTGCCTAGTAATGAGATACTATTTGGTTTGTTATTACCTTTGTATCCCTGGTCTGTTTCCCTGAGATCAATCACAGTAATTGGTTTAAAAGTTAAATCCCAAAGACGAATACAGCCATCTCTGCCACCAGTGGCAAAGCCTTCTTCACAAGCATTCATGCTAAAAATTCCTGCCTGGAAGAGGAAATAATTTAACATTTTACATTTTAAGAAAATCTATACAATCTAGAAATAGATTATATATAGCAACTCAATATATGACCAAAGAGGTATTTAATGATATGCACATAAAAGAAAATAAAGTTAAACCTTATATCCTATAAAAATTAATTACAGCTAGGCATAAAATTAATTCTGTTATAACATTTTCCAAGTCACTGGACTGATCAGAACGTTCTCTATATTATGTAATCTTCTGTTCTAAGACAAGAAGATAAGCAGTTAACATCAAAAAGTGTTTGGAAATATTTAAATGTACTTACAGTATGGGCCCCTTGTATTGTTCGAATGAGATTGATTCCTTTCCATACATATATATCCCCATTGAGTGCACCAGAATATGTTAACTCATCTCTTGCACAGGCCAGGCACAATATTGTTTGAAGGTCGCCAGTCTTACCAAAGACTCCTCGTTTTGGGGTCAGAGCATTTCCACATAAACTCCAGAACTAAAAGATACAGAGTATAATCAGATTACCAAAGAATGCTTATAAAATAAAGTAAAACATTCCCAATACTTTGATGCTACTTTAGAGCAGCAGACTAAAAATTACCTAAGATTTTCCCTTATGATACAATAGCATTCAAGGTTCACATCCTCATCCTAGTGTTGTCAACAGCTAGTTAGAGCAGATAAGTCACTGGTTTCAATACTTATCTGTAAGAATAACGGGGGGCGGGGGGGGGGGGGGGATGAACTACATTACTTTTTAAATATGCTACGCTTCCCTTAGGTTTCTGAAGAGAAAACCACACGAAACTTAGGTTGAAAAGTTGGGAATGAGCTAGCAATGAAGATACTATATACTAATAGGAAAAAGAACTGCCGAAACCGGTTTGGCTCAGTGGATAGAGCGTCGGCCTGTGGACTGAAGGGTCCCGGGTTCGGTTCCGGTCAAGGGCATGTACCTGGGTTGTGGGCACTTCCCCAGTGGGGGATGTGCAGGAGGCAGCTGATCGATGTTTCTCTCTCATCGATGTTTCTAACTCTCCATCTCTCTCCCTTCCTCTCTGTAAAAAATCAATAAAATATATTAAAAAAAAAAAAAAAAAAGAACCAAACCTAATGTTCAATCTGGTAAAGACAGCAAAGACAGGGAAAAATAAAAGGATTAGTATGTTGCACCCGTTGATCTTTTCAAAGCTTAAAAAATAAGAGAGATACATATTTGGAATAACTGGTTCATTCTTGGGAAAACACAGGGAAGTCAAACAGGTCAAATATAAATCTTCATGACCAGAAATTTGTTCTTCTTTGTGAATTCAGGTAAATTTTAATAGTTTGCAGAGAGAAAAAAACAAAATTGGGGCAAAGGCAGATATACACACACACACACACATACACATACATACACATACACATACATACATACACACACACACACACACACACTAGAGGCCTGGTGCATGAAATTTGTGCACGGGAGAGGGGTGTCCCCTCAGACCAGCCTGCACCCTCTCACAATCCGTGACATCCCTCACAATCTGGGACTGCTGGCTCCTAACTGCTCGCCTGCCTGCCTGCCTGACTGCCCCTAACCCCTCTGCCTTCCTGCCTGATCTTCCCTAACTGCTCACCTGCCTGCCTGATTGCCCCTAACCACATCTGCCTTGGCCACAGCTGCCATGGCTTCGCAGGAAGGACTGTCTAGAACAGCCATGGGCAAACTATGGCCTGCGGGCCGGATCCGGCCCGTTTGAAATGAATAAAACTATTGAAAAAAAAGACCGTACCCTTTTATGTAATGATGTTTACTTTGAATTTATATTAGTTCACACAAACACTCCATCCATGCTTTTGTTCCGGCCTTCCGGTCCAGTTTAAGAACCCATTGTGGCCCTCGAGTCAAAAAGTTTGCCCATCCCTGGTCTAGAAGGTCATTTGGCTGTCTGGTCTAATTAGCATATTATGCTTTTATTATTATAGATATATAAAATAGCTGTGTATAAGGTAATTAGGCCCCAAGAATAAATTCAACTTTATAATAACTAAATTACTATTTTAAATAATATAATATAATTTGTTACTATTATATACTTAAAAATCTCACCTGACCTTCAAGATCTTATTTTAAGACCTAAAGATCTTAATTTAAAACATGAAGCCTCAAAGAACTAAAAATTATGATGCTGATCTACTCAAATAACTAATGAATGTTTTAATCAAAGAAAGTTTATGATTTTTACATTTTAAAGTTCCATGATTTTGTGCATAAGGATAGTTGATTTTCTTTCTTTCAGCAAGTCCCAACTTCAATCTATTATTTTCTTTTAGAACAGTGATGCTCAACTGTGGCTGCACATTAAAATAACCTGGGGGAAATGATAAAACATAGTACATCTGGTCCCCACTGAGATAAATGGAGATAGTATTTAGATGAATCACTAGACAAATGTGGCTTTTTTTATATACATGCATCTAGAATCAATCCTTTATTCTTTTTGACATATGTGGCTCTTGAGAATACTGCCAGTGTGACTGAGAAATGAGTATTAAATTTTATTTAATTGTAATTAATTTAATTTAAATAGCTGTACTGGCCAGTGTAGTTCTAGATCATCTTTGGGATTTAGTTTCCTCATATGTATTGTCTGCAGAGAGCTACCATGTTATTCATTGCCTCTACCAAATGTAAGGAAATATAGTAAAAATATATATATATAGTTTGTTTAGTTTAATTGAGAAGATAAGATTTTTTTAATCTGAAAATGAAAAATTCAGCTTTATAGTATAAAACAACAGTAAGGTCTCTATTTATTAATTTGCCAACAATTTATTGACTTAATATATATCAAGTACTGTGTCAAACTTATGTTCATAGAAGATGAACAAGACAAAACTTCTACCTTCATAGCACTTATACTACATACTTTAAACCTAGCACAGAGCCTACTCATTATCAAATCAGGACCCAGATTTGCAGCAGCAGCCAAAGATGCTCTGGAGAAAATGTGGATGTAAGTGAGAGTATCAGAAGAATGTCCACACAAAACCCTACTTACTAAGAGTTAGTTAACTGTTACATCAGATATCGGGAGAAAAGCAAGTATTTCCAATTTGCATTACGGATTTAAAAGTAATTATCAACCTAAGAGTGAATACCACTGACTATATGGGCTTCAAATCCTGAACTATAATTATGAGACAAAACTCAAAGCTTCCATATGCAAAGTAAACAGTGACTATCAAAGGCTGAAATCAAATAAGAGAACTTATAGAGAAGAAAAGGTAACACTGTCAGAAAGCTGACCAGGTGCCAGGCACTCCGACATATATACTGTCTTACTGAATCACCACCTCTCTGAGGGTGGAACAGCAGCCCGTTTTAAGATGTGAAAAAAAGCTCAGAGATTAATGACTCATCCCAGGTCAACAGTTAGTAGGTGGCAAAGCCAATTCTATCCCTGATGCTTCTGCCACAATGTTTTATCTTTGTGAATGAAAACTCAGTTTACTTGGTTTTCTATTCTCACATTTTACTTTCTAAGTGAAACATGCAGCAGCAAAATAACAGTGCAAAACCTTATTTCATTAGACTCTAAATTCCTTTATGGGAAGTGTTCTATTAATTCTCTGTTTATATCTATGTCCCTCTCATAGGTTCCTCACACAGTAACTACATAATATTTGTTAGACTGAACATTAAGATATTAAAAATGTTGACATTTAAAAATAAGTACTGTCAGAATCCTAAAACTATCCTAAATTATAAATAGTGTGATATGTACTCAGCGGCAGAGAGGAAGTTAACATCCTATGTAATAAAAGGGTAATATGCAAATCGACTGAACAGCGGAACGCCCATGGCCTCTCACCCCGGCCGCCCCTAACCCCAAGGGGACCCCCCGCCCCAGCCAGCACACCCCCAATGGGCCCCCATCGGGGAGGGCTGGCTGGACCCCACCAGTGCAGAAATTTATGCACCAGGCCTCTAGTGACTCTTATACAACAAGACCCTTCTAGTACCTTGATATGTTTTACACCACAGCTGACAAGTTTATTTGGCTGGTACAAATCCCAAGAAATATCAAATATCTGTAAACAAATCAGATTTATGGTTAAAATACTTAATTTCAGAATCATTTAACAATGTTGTCCAAAAGACCAAATAACCCCCAAACTCTACCTATCATAAAGTCATGTTCCTCAATAATAATAAAAATCTTATGAGAAATAAAGTAAATACATAAATGATAAGGAACAAAAGCTGTATCTTGCCCAGCCAGCATGGCTCAGTAGTTGAGCATCAACCTATGAACCAGGAGGTCACAGTTTGATTTCTGGTCAGGGCACATGACTGGGTTGTGGGCTCAATCCCCAGTGTGGGGCATGCAGGAGGCAGCTGATCAATGATTTTTCTCTCGTTGATGTTTCTATCTCTCTCTTTCTTTCCCTTCCTCTCTGAAATCAATCAAAATGGTTTGTGTTTTTTTTTTTAAAAAAAGATGAGCTGTTCTTTATTTAAAAAAAAACACAAAACTATTTCTTAGTTTCTATGAACTTATGAAACAACTACATGAACTTATGAAGCAAGTAGTAGAATGGCAATTAACAACTCTATTTTTAATTCTTTTTTTAAAATATAGGCCCATAGCCCTAACCGGTTTGGCTCAGTGGATAGAGTGTTGGCCTGCGGACTGAAAGGTTCCAAGTTTGATTCCGGTCAAGGGCATGTACCTTGGTTGTGGGCACATCCCCAGTAGGAGGTGTGCAGGAGGCAGCTGATCGATGTTTCTCTCTCATCGATGTTTCTAACTCTCTCTCCCTCTCCCTTCCTCTCTGTAAAAAATTAATAAAATATACTTAAAAAAAATATAGGCCCATAAATAACAAGAATGGTTCGATACAACTAGGGCATAGGCATTTCTACAAAAGAAAAATCTGAATGGAACACACACTTAACACATACAGCCAGAAAGCTTTCTATCATGCAGAACTACTTTCATAAAGAATCCAAACATTTATTTCATAGTGCAAATTCTATTTTTATTTTTATTGTTTATAGGTCAAACAAAATTAACTTATGCACTTAAATTTTGGAGATCCCCAGGCTCTGTTCCTTTCTAAGATTCCATAAATTCTAAATACACACAAACCATTTTTATTACAAAAACAAACAAGAAAAAACCCCAGATGAAATCAAACATGCATTAGAAACATGTACTTTAATAATAAATATAAGAAAAACTAATATTTGAAAAATAATTTCATAGCAGAAAATAATTCTGCTATCTGGTAGTCTTCATCATATTTCTTTGACACCTGCCAGCACAATGATGTAAAATGCTCAGTACCTCTAAAAATACACTAAGTGATAGCCTTCAGTGATAATGAAGAAAGAATACATCTTATAAGTTAATGGTTAGCAACTCACCAAAAAAACAGATTAAATGAAAAACATACTGACGCAACTTTAAAATACTAACCACAAAATAGTTTTAAAAGTTCCAATGACAGTATCATTTTTCATAATAATCTATTTACTAAATCCAAAGTACTAATGTGTGAAATGCTTTGTTCTAAGTCAGAATACAAAATTGTTTAATAAGCTATACTTAACATTTTAATAATCTAAATTGTGTTTTTTTGTGTGTAACAGGACTCTCTGAGAATCTGCTAAAAACCAAAGGTTTTTTTCCCAAAACGCAAATCACACAAATGTTTCTATACACTTTTACAGATTCATAGATTCCCCCGAAATAGAATCAATGACTATCCCTCCTGTGCTGGTTTAGCTAAACATTTTATTACACACAAAGAACTCAGACATTTTAAAGAGTTTATGATAAAATTCTGATGTATGTTTATATAAAAGTAGTATAATATTTAATTCAAAAGCTGACATCATATTCTTTATGTTAATTTTAAACATCTTAGAATAATATATTTTTAACAAGTTTCATAAATAAAAAATGTTAGGTCTCTAAAAACCCTAATTCTAATACATAATTTTAAATTCACACACGAAATATCGTTTTCATCTTAACTATGAAATATATGTAACAAATCAGTGGTTAACCAAACTAAACAGACCATAGGCCTTTACCATTCGATTTTTAAATTGAGGTTTTAGTGTCACAAAATTCATCATTTTTGCTGAAGCAACTGGGTTAAAAGTTTTGTGCTAACACTACACCTATTGAGTCTACAATACATATGCATTCTAATTACAACTGTACTTTAAATTTTTAATTAGATATGAACTATTGGTCAATAACAAAAGACAGAAACATAAAATCCCCTGACACCCTCTGGCCGTTTCCCATCCAGTACCCATTAGAAACCAGAAAGGCAATACTTACTCTATCCGTGTGACCAGGAGCCATAGATAACATTTTTCCCCTTTTCCAATCCCAAACACAAACTGCATTTTTTGAATCGAGTCCAACTGAAACCAAGCGCTGAAATATTTCCAAGAAGTCCCGAAGGGCAGGCAAACAGATAAAAAAGGAACCAAATTATAAATGGCAAATTCTAATCGTATTAAAAACATCAATAGTTATTTTTATAGACTTTATTGAGAAAGGCTGGATATATCTCATCTTGTTAATATTTGCACATATATGTGATTCTTCACATTAAGAAACAGAAGGATGACTTCCATGTCTAACAGTAGGATTGACAAAATACCCTAAACATCTCTCCTGTCAAAAACTAAAAATGTTAGATAAAATGTAAAAACATCTTTTAAATGTACTACTGAGCTGTCAAAAATTAAGAAATCTGAGAACAAAAACAAAGTTGTTTCATATGGGAATCTGGAATAGTAAGAGCTCGTACGTCCATCCACTTTAAAGGTGTCAACTAAGTCCTGGTAAGCCTGATTTTGTTCTGTTGGCTGAACAGGAATAGGAAATAAAGTTTAAGACACGCCAAAGGTAGGGATTTGATATGCAAACCTCTAACTAAAGCATCGAACTCCTCAGAGTAAGGGAAAACAAGAAACTATCCTATTTTAAGGAGGGGTGGCAATGCATGGAGGGAGAAACACTACCCTGAAAATCTGTAGCCACAAGCAGCCTTCCTGTGGCTGTAAGGCCTAAATCCACATTAATCATCAATCCGAAATTTTCATTTAGAGTGGTCCTAAGGATTGCAGAATCTTCAAGCATTTTTCAACAATGTTACATAGGCAGATATAAATACTATGTGGAGGACTAAAACACCCATCCCTCAAAGTATTTGTAAAGATAGCAATCAATAAAAATAAAATAAAAAATAAACAACCTGTTCCCTATAATCACAGACATAAGAGACATGAGTGAGAATCAGAAAGTCACAACAAACAGCAAAATCAGTCCTGCAAAACATCAGACATTGGATTTATCAGATTATATAAAATAAGACTTAAAAATAGCCCGAGCTGGTTTGGCTCAGTGGATAGGACGTCAGGCTGCAGACTAAAGGGTCCTGGGTTCGATTCCAGTCAAGGGCACATGCCTGGGTTGTGTGCTTGAACCCCTGTAGGGGTGCATGCAGGAGGCAGCCGATCCATGATTCTCTCTCATCATGGATGTTTCTCTCTCTCTCTCTCTCTCTCTCTCTCTCTCTCTCTCTCTCTCTCTCTCTCTCTCCCTCTCCCTTCCGCTGTGAAACCAATAAAAACATATTTTTTTTAAAAAAAAGACTTAAAAACATCTTCATATGAGCAAAGAATAGGAGGCTATAAAAGTACCCAGGCAGATTTGAAAAAGCAAAGAGAATTTCTAGATATGAAAAAATAAATGAAATTAAAAACTCATTGGAAGAGTTAAATAGGCGATTAGAGGGGAGTAAAGAGAGAATTGAAAAGAGGAGACAGTGAGATGGAAAGTAGGAGAGGGGTTAAGAAACATGAAAGATGAACTTCTGGCCATGAATGAGTATTAGGGTCTGAACTTGATCCTCGGCTATAAACAATCCAAAACTGTATAAAATACATGAAACAAAATGTTTTCAGACATTCATAATAGGAAGTGAAGAACTGTGAATCCTGAAAGGGGGGAAAACAAACAAGGTGAGTCGTGAAATTGCCCCAGCCTTTATCTAGAAGGCAATTTCCAGACTACAGCCCAGAAGGGTGGAATCCAAACAGAGGCCAGCAGACTTGCTGATTTGAGAAGACAGCCTAGAGTTCAGAGAAGCCAAGATGGCTAGTAATTTGCAGAACAGAGAAAAAGCTCCATAAAATCAGTTTATAAGTCCCCTTGAGAACACCAACATTTCATGCACAGGGTAAAATCCTGAGGCCAAGCAAAGAACAAATTCTGAGGAAGAAAAAACAATTACGAAGAAGCTAGGCCAAAAAACTCCCAAAGATCACAAAGGGTCAGTCACTCAAGACTTAATTTACACATATGAATGAAAAGCACCCAAATAGTAAATGCATAAATACGATTTTTCTTATTTTTAATTTGCCTTTTAAAACTAACTATTCTAGGCAAAAAATAACAAGTTATTATGGGGTTTACAAAACATGTAGGAATAAAATGAATGAGAACAACAGTACAATAAACAGAAGGAAAGGAAACAGAAGACATATTTTTCCCTACCATTTCCAAATGTACATGATGCTTCATTAAGATCACAAAATTTTGAATCACAAAATAAGCCTAAACAAATTTTTAAAAATGAAAATACAGAGTACATTTTCTGTATTTTCAAAAACAGAAATCAGAATAGCATGAAGTTATTATCCTATGAGGTACTTTTATTATCTCCACTTAATAGGTAAGAAAAATAAGCTACTGGTTTCTGACAAAAACAGAAATCAGAATAGTATGAAGTTTACACAGGAAATCCTTCAAATATTTATAAATTAACAAGACATACTTCTTAGTAAATGAAGGGTTAAAGAAGAAATCACAAGGACCAACCCACAACACAGACTTTGAAAAGCGCTGATTTAGAAGCAGGGGTTGCAAACGACAATTCTCAGGCCAAACTCTACCTGCACCCCGGTTTTTGTAAATAAAGTTGGAACACAGCCACACACACTCTTTTACAAGCTGTCTATGATGCTTTCACACTACAGTGCAGAGCTGAGTCGCTGTCACTGAGACCACATAGTCCACAAAGCTTAAACTATTTATTATTTGACTTGTTATAGAAAGTTCACCAATCTCTGGGTTAGAGCATAGATTCTGGTAGCTGACTGCCTAGATTTGAACACCGCCCCATCTCTCACTAACTGGATGACTTTGGACAGTTCTTAAGCCTCTCTGTATTTTAGTTTCCTTACCTATTAAGAGGGGATAATAAAAGTACCTCATAGGGTCAATATGACAATTAACATATATACACACAGGGTGGGACAGAAGTTTACAGTTGTAAGTATGTGAAACACAGTTTATTCTTGTATTGTTATTTATTATTGTACTAGAGGCCCGGTGCACAAAAATTTGTGCACTCGGGGGAGAATGGGGGGTCCCTCAGCCAGGCCTGTGCCCTCTCGCAGTCTGGGACCCCTCGGGAGATAACGACCTGCTGGCTTAGGCCTGCTCCCGGGTGGCAGAGGGCAGGCCCAATCCCTAGGTGCAGCCCCTGGTCGGGCTCAGAGCAGGGCCGATTGGGGAGTTGGGGCGCCACCCCCTGTCATGCACAGAGCAGGGCGGATTGGGAGGTTGCAATGCCACCCTCAGTCATGCTCAGGGCAGGGCCGATTGGGGGGTTGGGGCACCGCCCCCTGTCACACTCAAGGCAGGGTCGATGGGGAGGTTGCGGTGCCACCCCGTCACGCAGAGAGCAGGGCCCATCAGGGGGGTTGGGGCTCCGTACTCTGTCATGCACAGAGCAGGGCCAATCAGGGGGTTGGGGTGCTGCCCCCTGTCACGCACAGAGCCACAGGGCGATCAGGGGGTTTGGGCGCTGCCCCCTGTCACACTGATCCCGGTGCCGGGAGGCCTCTCGGCTCCGCTGATCCCGGTGCTGGGAGGCATATTACCCTTTTACTATATAGGATAGAGGCCTAGTGCATGGGTGGGGCTGGCTGGTTTGCCCTGAAGGGTGTCCTGGATCAGGGTGGGGGTCCCCACTGGGGTGCCTGGCCAGCCTGGATGAGGGGATGATGGCTGTTTGCAGCTGGTCACACACCCTTCAGGGTGGGGGTCCCCACTGGGGTGCCTGGCCAGTCTGGGTGAGGGGCTGAGGGCTGTTTTCAGGCTGGGACTGAAGCTCCCAACTGCTCCTTTTTTTCTTTTTTTTTTTTTTAATTCTGTGCCAGCTTTAGCCCTGAGGCTTGGCTCCAGCTCTGAGGCCTCAGCTGCTGAAAACAGGTATCTGGTTTGTTTCGGTTCTATAATCGAAACTCTGTATCACCTCCAGCTCTGAGATCCCAGCTCTCTGAAAGCTGGTTTCTGGGGTTTTGTTTAACTTCTATATTTGTTACAATGTTTTTTAAACTGCAAGCTCAGAGGCCGGTAAGGCAGGCAGGGAACATTGCAGTCCACTGTCACTGAAGCAAGCAAGCCTCATGTTCAGTTTAAGCTGCCTGGCTGCTGGCCGCCATTTTGGCTGGCAGTTAATTTGCATATCGCCCTGATTAGCCAATGGGAAGGGTAGCAGTCGTACGCCAATTACCATGTTTCTCTATTATTAGATAGGATTATTTTCCATATGAACAACTGTAAACCTACTTTTGCCCCACCCTGTATATAAACGAGTTAGAAGAGTGCCTGGAATATAGTTAATGTTATATAAGTGTTTGCTATCATCATCATCAGTTTACCATAATTATAATTAGCTTTAAGAACCTATTTCCTCTTCTTGTCCAAATGAGAAATGTCATCTAGTACCCTGTTCGAAACCGTTTCTGCAAAGTACAGTTGCTATTTAAACCCCAAATGTGTAGAATGAATGGTTCACATGAAAAGAGAAAGAATAGTCCTGGTTGGCTGATGTTGTTCAGTGGATAGAACATCAGCGCTTGCACCAAAGGTTTGTAGGTTCAATCCCCGGCCCTGGTTGGGGCACATTTAGGAGGGAACCAATCGATGTGTCTCTCTCACATTGATCTGTTTCTCTCTTCCCCTCCCCCCTTCTACTCTGTCTATATCAATGACAAAAAAAATATACTCAGGTCAATCTTTAATATTTGAGAACAAGAGGTTTCAACAAACACCTAGCTAAAACGAAGATATTCACCTCTTGCTACAGCAAACTGTGTAGAAATTAAAATGTCACAAGACAACTATAAAGTGAATAACAAAGGGGCTCTGTCCTTTCTACCATTGCCTCTTCTCTCTGGCTCAACTCATCATACACACAAAACAAGTCACAACTGGCTAAAAGCTTTAAAACTCCATGGAAGTTTTTAGTAAAAAGTTCTGGCATACTAAATACTCAAATAAGAAAAATATTCCAATAGCCACAGCTAGACGCATCCCATGTGTTACTGCAATTGTGAAATACTTTCAAATAGTGGACAATTAAACTTAAAAGACCTTAGTGTGGGGATCTTTGTGATCTCAGGGTTCAATATATAAGATCTAACTCAGTGGTTCTCAACCTTCCTAATGCCGCGACCCTTTAATAAAGTTCCTCATGTTGTGGTGACCTCCAACCATAAAATTATTTTTGTTGCTACTTCATAACGGTAATTTTGTTACTGTTATGACTCGTAATGTAAATATCTGATATGCAGAATGTATTTTCATTGTTACAAACTGAACATAATTAAAGCATAGTGATTAATCACAAAAACAATATGTAATTATATATGTGTTTTCCGATGGTCTTAGGCGACCCCTGTGAAAGGGTTGTTAGACACCCAAAGGGATCGTGACCCACAGGTTGAGAACTGCTGATCTAACTGTTACAACGTTACAAAGTAAAAATCACTCATTTTGAAAAAGACACAGGACTTCATGAAGTAAATATTGGTCAAATCATACAGAAAGCCATTAAATTAGATGTTAGGATCTGGAAGAGCAATACAAGAAAAATTTTTAAAAATGCAATAGGCACTTGAGGTATGTTTAGATTATCAGGAGGTTATTTGAAGGCCCTTGAAAAAAAAACAAAAAACAGTGAAATCCCCTAATATTTTTGTAAAAATGACCCTCGTTATAATTATGTGCCAAAAGTCAATGGTAAGCCAAAGCATTTCATTTTGTACCAGCATATAGTTGACAAATTAGGTTAAAAACGTCAATTCTTTATTCTTGGTTCATTCTACAAATTAGCAAAGTTGTAACTATAACAGATTTTATGAAATATGAGAAATGTGCTTTTATTATTTTAAATTATGGTTATATTTTCAAGATAAAGTACTAAATTTCCCTTCCCCTTATTCCTCCCCCATTTACTATAAAATTTTAGCCCCTGTTTGATGTGGCTTTATATAATTAGCCTTTTTAGGCCCTAATTATTCTACATAAGGGAGACTTCCAGTGTTAGCATAGATACTCAATCCATTCAGAAGAACCTCTCTAGGAAAAGAACATCCAGCATTGCTACCAACAGGGAAACTAATTCATTGGATAAATCTTAATTGGTCATTTATAGTTTCAGTTATAGTAGAACATGGAAAATTTATACAGCATTTCCTAGTTGGTATCTCATAAATAGTTTATATATATGAGTGGAGAGATATGTACTAAAATATATTTTTTAACTAAAGCATTTTCTCATTAATATAATTTCAGATATTTTCTTCTTAATCTTTAACTGGAAGCAGTTCCTTACAAGCTTTAACTGTACTTAAGATGGATAAATTCCTTTTGAAATATAAATAAGCACCTTCTAAGTTCATTTTTGGGAGGCAGTTGAGGATTGCGGTTAAAAACATGAGATTTGGAGTGTGAGTGACCTGGGTTCCAGCTCTGGTTCCATTTACTAGCTGTGTGACCTGGGGCAAGTTATTTAACCTCTCTAAGTCTCAGTTTCTTTATCTGTAAAATCCTATCTAATAAAAGACAAAAAGGGTAATTGACCGTACCTTCGCTATGCTTCCCAATGGCTAATCAGGGCGATATGCAAATTAACTGCCAACCAAGATGGTGGCGGGCAGCCACACAACTGAAGTGAGCAAGAGGCTTGCTTGCTCCAGTGATGGAGGAAGCCAAGGTTCCCCGCCTGCTGCGGCCCAGCTCTGAGCTCCGAAAGCAACAAAGTTTCAATTATAGAAGCTAAACAAACCCCAGATACCTGCTTTCAGCTGGCGGTGGCCTCAGAGTTGGAGTGAGCAGGACGGCAACAAAGTTTCAATTATAGAAGGTAAATAAATCCCAGAATAAAAAGAAAAAAAGGAGAGGCTGGGAGCATCAGTCGCCGGCCAGCCTGAAAACTGCCCTCAGCACCTCACCCAGACTGACCAGGCACCCCAGTGGGGACCCTCACCCTGAAGGGGGTGTGACCAGCTGCAAACAGCCATCAGCCCCTCACCCAGGCTGGCCAGGCACCCCCGCGGGACTCCCACCCTGATCCAGGACACCCTTCAGGGCAAACCAGCCGGCCTCCACCCGTGCGCCAGGCCTCTATCCTATATAGTAAAAGGGTAATATGCAAACTGACCCTAACAGCAGAAAGACTGGGAATGACTGGTCACTATGACACACACTGACCACCAGGGGGCAGATGCTCAATGCAAGAGCTGTCCCCTGGTGGTCAGTGCGTTCCCACAGTGGGAGCTCTGCTCAGCCACAAGCCAGGCTGATGGTTGCCAGTACAGCGGTGGTGGTGGGAGCCTCTCCTGCCTCCTCAGCAGCGCTAAGGATGTCTGACTGCAGCTTAGGTCTGCTCCCCGCCGGCAAGTGGACATCCCCCGAGGGCTGCCGGGCTGCAAGAGGGATGTCTGATTGCCAGCTTAGGCCCAATGCCCCAGGGAGCAGGCCTAAGCCAGCCGGTGGTCATCCCTCGAGGGGTCCCAGACTGCGAGAGGGCACAGGCCAGGCCAAGGGACCCTCTACCCCTGAGTGCACAAATTTTTGTGCACCAGGCCTCTAGTAGAGATAATAACGGTCTCTATTTCATAGGGTTGTGAGGATTAAATGAGATAATGTAGACAATGCCTTACACTTAGTATGTGCTCAATAACTTTTAGCTATCATGTTTTTTTATAAGCTTAAATTTTAAGTAACATGTTCTCATGAATATCTGTGGTAATAAAATACTTGTACCCAAGACTCTTCTTTTAACTTGTTTAAAATAAGTGAAATTAAAGGTTCCAACTAAGAAAACAGGTGGGCATAACTTCTCCTTACACATATAAGAGAAATTCCTCAGCAATGTAATATATTACATTTAGAAAAGGCAATTTTAAAATTAAGAAGAAAACATCTACATTTAAAACATATAGACACATAGTTAAAACATCTTGGATTTCATAACACCTTTAGTAAATGATATTTATAGGTTTATTTCATAAAATCTCATCTCCTGTAAAATAGGTAAAGAGTATTATGCTCTTCCTTTTAAAAAATAAAATAAAATAAAATAAAATAAAATAAAATAAAATAAAATAAAATTCTGATATGAGGACATTAAGGGACTTGAAAAAATAATAAAAATGGCACACAAATTAAGGTTCTGTAATTGACGATCACTGCTACACTGTGATATTAAACCTAGAAGCACACTTTTCCCCAAATGAGAGGTTCCAGTTAAGTCTTTATAGATCTCTTACCAGACTCTTATCAGAAAGTCATATGTATCTATGCTACTCAAAGAAGCTATTCCTCAGAGTTATAAATAAAACATCATTTTATTTATACTGGATATCATTTTCAAGGGAAGAGATCACAATGTAATAGGTTCCTGTTAAATCCAGACCTATGAAATTAATTTTATGAATTGAAAAGCAGCTAAAAATTTTTTCTAAAGGTTAAAATAATTTTTAAACTCTAATTTTAACATAAAACTTTTAAAGACTATAAAAGTTTTGCACACCTACAAAAGCCAACTTTTTACCACTTCTTAAATATGTTTTAGGTATAATAAGTTCCATGAAAACACCACCAAAAAGCTGTTGACTTAATTTTTTAAAAAGTCATTGTCTAGAAGTAAATAATAATTTGGAAACTGATTAGTAAAGTAAGTGAAATTATAATTATATCCTTTGTTTTTAACTTTGATTTTTGTCTAAAAACAGTTCATATAGGAACTACCTTGTTATTTTCAATAAAAAAATGTAATTTTAATAGAAAACCTTAAAATAACTAAAAATTAAAATGTATACAACCCTACTTAAACTTAATATTCCTAAGATGTCTTCCATTTGTCTTATCAATATATACAACCTGGAAAAGAATTGTGTGTAAAATTTTCTAGAGCAACCAGATAATATTCCACTGCATCAGGGTCTCTTTAGCTTTCATGATAGTAATTAATTCAATTGAAAAGTTCTTGAGAAAATTAAAAAACCTCATTGTTCTCATATACACCAACCACTCATCCCACCTACCCACCTCCACCCTTGAACAAATACTTGTCATCATTGCTTTCTGATTTAATATTCATAGATTTATAATAATTTCTTATAGTACACATTCTTAACACACAGTTACAAAAAAAGAAAAAATTATCACATACCTGGCCATCTAAGTCGAATGCTAAGCAAGCTATACCATGTGTATGAACATCCTTCAGAACCGATATGGTCTGTACTGTGTATGAATCCCAAACACAGATATAAGGCTCTTTCCCAACTTGTCCGGTTGCTACTAATACTCGTTCAGGATGCAATGCAAGGCTGCAAAACAAACAAGCAGAAGACTTAAAATTGGTTACAGAGATTTCAAAATATTTGGTATCTATAACATATACCAATGTGAAAATTAGACTTTACTTATCCATTTAAAATAATCTGGATTTAAAATAAATAACCTCTATAAAAATCCAGGCTAAGAGTTACTACTTCAATAGTACATGTGATAAAGTTAGTGACAGACCTCCTAATCCCTGTAATATGATACAGTGTGTGTAAACTTCTCCAAAAACAGGATGTTCACAAGGATCAACTGAACCACAGCAACAAATCGGTAGCAACCCTACCACATTCCATTCTCTCAGTTGGTATGCATCTGTTTTTAAGCCCTCTTTCCCATTTTACTCCTTTATTGGATAAAGTTAGACCATATCTTTAGTGTCCAAAAATAGTATTAGTAGCACTCCTATAATAACATTAATATTAAAGTACAAGTCATATTTTATGAAACAAAACGTCACCCATAATTCATAGAAAATAATCTATGAATCTTTAAATACAAGACAAAGACCTAACCGTTGATTTATATACATCAGCAGAAGACAGGGAATGAATATAAATTTCTCCTTGATAAACTTTTCTATAAGTAGATTTAGATGATGAGATTCACCTTTGGGAGGAAAAAAAATGGCATCAGGGTGGAGGATGTAATGAAAGAGGGAAAAGTTAGGAGGGTATTAAAACAGAATCAACTGATTGAATATAGGGAGAAAGGGAAAGGAAACGGTCTATGATGACTCTAGGGCAGCGATTCTCAACGTGTGGGTCGAGACCCCTTTGGCGGTCGAACAACCCTTTCACAGGGGTCGCCTAAGACCATCCTGCATATCAGATATTTACATTACAATTCATAACAGTAGCAACATTACAGTTATGAAGTAGCAACGAAAATAATTTTATGGTTGGGTCACAACATGAGGAACTGTATTTAAAGGGCCAGAAGGTTGAGAACCACTGCTCTAGGGTTTCTGGTTTGAACATCTAGATGGCTTGGGTAGTAGTCAACAAGTCAGAACATACTAAATGAATAGTAAAAGGAAAGTTAAGTGGAATAAAATTTAGTTCAACATATTGAAGTTAACCAACATATCTATGCTAATAAAAGGGTAATATGCTAATTAGACCAGACATCTTCCGGACGTCCTTCCAGACAAAGACACGGTTGTGGGGGCTGAGGCAGAGGCAGTTAGGGGCAATCAGGCAGGCAAGCAGGTGAGTGCTTAGGAACCAGTGGTCCTGGATTGCGAGAGGGATGTCCGACTGCAGTTTAGGTCTGATCCCGGCAATCGGACATCCCCCGAGGGGTCCCGGATTGGAGAGGGTGCAGGCAGGCTGAGGACACCCCCCCCCCACACACGAATTTCGTGCACCAGGCCTCTAGTCATATTAATAAATAACAACAGAACCCACACATAGAAACAGATATAGAAAACACATTTGACAAAAATTTAACCCCTTTTATGATAAAAGTACATAACAACCTAAGAATTTTAGAGAGAGAACTTCCTAAATCTGATTAAACCCACTGCTAATATCTGGCAACTGTCAGATTCTAATGTGCAGCCAAGGTTGAGAACCACTGAGATAGAGGGTGCTTTTCAAACTTCAAACAGCAATATGTTTACAATCAGCTGAGAGTGTTAAAATTCAGCATCTAATTCAGTAGGTTGGGTGGGGTTGGAGATATCCATCCCTAAGATGCTCCCAAGTGATGCTGAAGCTCCTGGTCTGAGGACCATACGTTGAAGCAACAAGGATCTACAACTGCCAGCCATGTGTCATTTTTTTTAAAAATAACCAAGTAAACTAGAAGCTGCTGGGACAAATCTTGAAGGCCAGTGTTGTATTTTGGAAGACAGGGTTCTGCTCCCCTCCCCCATTCACCTGATCACCTGAGCATACAGTCCCCTGGAGAGTCTCGTGATTACAATATGGGATGGGGCAAAAGTCGGTTTATGGCTGTGAGTATGCAAAACACGAAGTTTATTCTTGTATTTTTACTAATTATTGTATTATTTTCCATATGAACAACCGTAAACCTACTTTTGCCCCCACCTTGTAAAAATAAGAACAAGTGACCCTAAAATTCCTGTATTATTTCTGACAGTGAAACTAATTTCTATATAAATCAGTACTGATATAAATACAACTAAAGGATAAATTACTAGAGAAGTATAGATATGTGGTAAAAAGAAGTAAAACAACAAGCAACATGGACAAAAAGGAGAAGTCATGTGGCACCATCATTAGCAATATTAGATGTAGTAAGATGACAGAAAAACCGGTAAGTAAATGATAGACTGGTTGTGGTTCATTCTTTACAAGCCATATAGCATTTACAGTTTCAGAACGTAAAGAAAATAACCGGCTCATTCCGATTAGCCCCAGACTAAGTCAGATTTGACCAATAAGTTTTACCTAAGTTTCAAGCAAATATGGAAACAAAACAGATGATAAAAACAGTAAACTTTTTATTACTAAGGCTAACATTTCAACAACACTGTTTTCCTCTATGCATCACATTTATGAATATTACATTTTTAGCTATGAAATAATTGAAAATTCTTGAAGTACTTTCTATATTTATATTTCAAGCACTGAACTGAAAGAAAATGAAGAAGTCTGAACATCTGCCTGATCTATTTCACAAACAATAATGATCTGTCATTGTTCGATATGAAATTTCCAGAGCCTTTTCACTGATTCTTAATCTATATTCTTAGTACTGTATTAAATTTGTGCCACCAATTTCAAGATGCAATATGAGTCCGCTTTTACGATCCCATTGCAATTTTTTTCAGGAAACCTTTTTAGTGTTACAAATTGTTTTAAGGATAAACCTTTTGCCTATAGAAAAGTAACTCGCCATTTTGCAATATTGTGAGACAATGTATGGGCTGGGCAACTACATCTATTTTCCTACCTACCTATGTGAAAGGAAAGCAAAAGCATTACCTTCCTTAGAGTTTACTAAAACACAATTATAAACATTCAAGCAGTGTGACCTATGACATAACTTCTACTTACTACTGGATGCACAAAAACCTAGTGCCCCATCAAATAAATCGTATCTAGATTTCAAAGACCCTCATACCATCCTGCTTTCAAGTACCAAAGAGTACACACAACAGAGGTAGGTACACTCCGAGAAGACCTCAAAATCCTTCACACCTCCCTCACCCACTGAATTCAGCCTAAGAGACTGAGTACCTGGAGGATGGTTGCTTCAACCAGGTAAAGTTACTACCTAACCGTCTAACCCCTGTTCTGTGGGCGACCTAACACATGGAAAAGAAAGAAACTGTCAAGGATCATGAAAAAGACAGAACTGGCATGAAGTCTACTCTTGGGATTAATCACAACAAACAAACAAATGAACCCAAAACAACCCCCGATTCCCTATTCCACAATCTCAACTTCTGCTCTCGGTATCTTTACTCCATCTTACCCCACTACCTTGTGCTTGTCCCAGACCCCTTTTCCCTACGGATCACGGGTGTACACACAAAATAAAAGAACTTCGTCGTTTATGGAATTTATGTTTCTTGCCTGTAAGACACCAAACCCAGATACTGGATTTGGAATGCCCAATTTAAATCCTGTGGCGTGACCAAATCCAATCACAGAATTTCTATGAAAAACCCAGAAGCGGCACACAAACACATGCTCCAAATAGTTTAAGCAAAGGCGTCCATCACCGACACGGATGCCGTGCTTGAGGCAGTCATCAATTTCTGCAGCTTTTAACTTTATTTGCCACCAAAGTTCCTGCCGAGACACTGACTGAAACCTACATTTCAAAGACACCATCCACTAAAGAAATGTCAACAAACACGGAATACCGCCCAAAGGAGAATTAAAATAAAAATTAAAAAATGTAACGTAAGCCCAAAATACAAAAGTGAACTTATTGAGGGGTGCTTTAAAGAGGAGGAAACAAGGGGACTGGGAAACGGAAGCTTCTTTCCCATGACACCTATACTCCCACACTGCCTTTGGGGGTGCAAGTGCTGATCTCTAAGGAACCGCGGGCGGCGAAACCTGAACTAATGACAGCGGCCGAGAGGTGCGCGCCCGCCCAGAGTCCACCCGGGCGCGGTCCCCGGTTGCGATCAGTCCTCTATCGGGCACGGGACTTCCCCCGGCGCTTGAAGAATCCGTTGAACCAGAAACCTCGGGCGGGAAGTAAAGGAGCAAACTGCTACCTAAATAACCTTTTTGCAGTTTCGCAAACGCGGAGGCAGGAGGGTACCCAGCCAGAGCGCCGAACGCCCGGGGCCCCCCCGGACTGGGTGTCCCCGCCCCGCCCCGAGGGAGACAAGCGCCCGAAGATGCGGAGAGGCGTTTGCAGGGGGAGGACCGGTGGCCTCGGACGAGGCGCCCGCGGCTGTCTGTCTCCGCGGCGCCGCTCCCGGCGGCACCGGGTCACCGCGCCCGGGAGGGCTCCCGGCGGCCGCCCCCTCCCGCCCCCGCGCCCGCGCCCGCGCCCGCCCCGCGGCACCTGATGATGTCGTCGCTGTGGCCGCGGTAGAACTTCTGCCGGTGCTCCCGCGGGCTGTACACCACGCCGACGCCCGCCACGAAGTACACGATCTCCTTGGCCGCCGTGTAGTAGAGGTTGTTGCGGCACTGGTGGCCCCGGTAGCCGTACACCCACTCGAGCCGCAGGTGGCAGCTCGGGGCGCTCCGGGCCGCCATGTCGGGGCGCCCCCTCCGCCGCTCCAGCTCGGGCCCGCGGCGGCGGCGGGGGGCGGCCGGGCGAAGGGAGCCCCCCGGCTGGCGGCCGGGACTCGCCGCCGGCCGCGTCCTCTAAGCGGCGCCCGGCAGGTGCATGTCGCTTCTCCGGGCCGCCGCTGCCGCCTCAGCCCACGGGCGGGAGGACCGCCCCGGCCTCGCGGAACATGCCGGGGGCCGTCCCGGGGGTGCCGCGCGCCCTTCCCCGCCTCGGCTCGCCGGTCTCAGCCCGCAGCGCCCCGGGGGAGACGCAGCCGAGCGAGGGCCGCCTCCCGCCTCCACGCCCCGGCCGCCGCCCGCGCTCCCGGCGCCCGGCCCGAGCCACCTGCGGCGTCCGCGCCCCGCCGCCGCCTCGTCCCGCTGCCCCGCGGGCCCGCGCCGCGCGCCCCCGAGCCCAGCACCCGGCCTCGCGCGGCCCCGCCCCGCCCCGCCCCCGCCGCCGCCGCGCGCTCGCCCCGCCCCGCCCGCCCCGCCCCGCCCAGCGCGGAGCCTCGGGAGCGCGGCGGGGTCGGGGGGCGCCGCTCCTGCGCCGTCGCGCTCACCCGCGTCCGGACCCGCTCCCCGGCGGCGTGGCGAGCGACCCCGATGCCCAGACCGCGTCCCGCCCGCCCGCGCGCGGGGAGCTGAGCCCTCGCGGGGACCCCCAGGTCGCGGGGACCCTCGGCGACTCCGTCCCTGCCGCTGGGTGTCCTCGCCCGGGAAGCGCCTGCCTGGGTTGCAAGGCCCGGGGTCCAGGCCGGGGCTGCATTTGCGCCGGGAGGAGCAGCACCGGGATGCTAAGCTCTTTTACTTCTTCTAATTCTGAGTGTGTGTGTGTGTGAGTGTGTGAGTGTGTGTGTGAGTGTGTGTGTGTATGAGTGTGTGTGTGTGAGTGTGTGTGTGTGTGTATGAGTGTGTGTGTGTGAGTGTGTGTGTGTGTGTATGAGTGTGTGTGTGTGAGTGTGTGTGTGTGTGTATGAGTGTGTTTGTGTGTGTATGAGTGTGTGTGTGTGAGTGTGAGTGTGTGAGTGTGTGTGTGAGTGTGTGTGTGTATGAGTGTGTGTGTGTGTGTATGAGTGTGTGTGTGTGAGTGTGTGTGAGAGTGTGTGTGAGTGTGTGTGAGAGTGTGTGTGTGTATGAGTGTGTGTGTGTGAGTGTGTGTGAGAGTGTGTGTGTGTATGAGTGTGTGTGTGTGTGTGTATGAGTGTGTGTGTGTGAGTGTGTGTGAGAGTGTGTGTGAGTGTGAGTGTGTGTGAGAGTGTGTGTGTGTATGAGTGTGTGTGTGTGTGTGTGTGTGAGTGTGTGTGAGAGTGTGTGTGTGTATGAGTGTGTGTGTGTGAGTGTGTGTGAGAGTGTGTGTGAGAGTGTGTGTGTCTGTGAGTGTGTCTGTGAGTGTGTGTGAGTGTGAGTGTGTGTGTGTGAGTGTGTGTGTGTGTGTTTCTTGCTGTTTCACGCTGCTCACTACACCAGACCCTGTGTGAGGATAAAACCCGACCCCCTAACTGTGCATTTTCTCATTTGTGTGGGTGACCTCAAAGCTGAAGGAATTTAGGTCGTAAAATAACACGCCAGATCCGACTTGTTAATACATAGCAACGGTACCTGAATTTTTAAATATTTCTGTTTTGAACAGCGGTACGTTCTTGATACTTCTTGCATTTTAGTCATGGCTTGGATATGGTGACCCTGGAGAGCGCTCCACTAACGAAAGTCCTGGCAGCAGTGGGTTCCTGGCTAGGCTATGCCAGTTCTTCTGGTACTCAGTTTTCTAAGTGACCCCTTTCTCATGGGAATATGGCCAAGGTTAACCAACACCTGCAAAAAATAAAATATTTGAAATCCATCCTTTAAGAGGTTTTAAGTGCAGAATGAGAGCCATGAGTTTTACAACAGGAAATATTAATAAAATACAAATATGAATCCTCCCGTGTCTAAAAATACTGTTTTGGCGCTGACCAGTTTGGCTCAGTGGATAGAGCGTCGGCCTGCAGACTCAAGGGTCCCGGGTTCGATTCCGGTCAGGGGCATGTGCCTTGGTTGTGGGCACATCCCCAGTGGGGGGTGTGCAGAGGGCAGCTGATGGATGTTTCTCTCTCATCGATGTTTCTGGCTCTCTATCTCTCTCCCTTCCTCTCTGTAAAAAATAAAAAATAAAAAATAAAAATCAATAAAATATATTTTAAAAAAATAAAAATAAAAATCACTGTTTTGGTTTCCCTGGGAAATACTAAAACTTGGAAATCTGACAAAAGCTAGAATAAACAATCCTTTCAAGAAAGTGGCTGCTTATGCTCTGTCGATTGGTTGGAGCAGCATCAAAAGGTTGCAGTTCAATTCTCAGTCAGGTTCCAGGTTCCATCTCCATTGGAGGCAACCAATGGATACATATTTAAGTTCTCTCTCTCTCTCTCTCTCTCTCTCTCTCTCTCTCTCTCTCTCTCTCTCTCTCTCTCTCTCTCATCAATAGAAATGCCCTCGGGTGAGAATTTTTTGAGAAGTGACTGCTCAAAGGTGATGATTCCTATATGGTACCCATACCTTGGAATGGATGTTACACAGCCTCTACTTCCCCAAAGAAGCAAATTACCCATTGCAGGGGAGAAGGGCCATCTCAGAGGAAGGAATCTACATAAATGTCATGCAAAGCAAACTTCAAGAAATGAGCCGATTTGGTGAACTCTGCTAGGAAGGCTGGAAATAGAAATCCAATGCTCTGTAGTTCACCGTTAGCATCTAACAGGGTGGTGAGGAGGTACAATGCAGGAAAAAGTGATTGTAAGAACTTCATAAAATTCCCAAGCTTTCAGACACCCTCAAGTTTATTATATTTTTGCAATTCCCAGAGTGATTAGCTATAAAACTCTTGTAATGAAGAGGGCTCTTGTCCTAATTTTCAGGAACAGCCAAGAATTAGAGGAGTGAGCAAGATTGGGGGAAACGTGCCCACTCTGCAGCTTGTCTTTGGTCAGGGGTAACAAGAATCTCAGCAGAAAGGAGTGAGGAATGTAGATTGGGTTTCTGGCACCTGCTGGAAAGAAAACAAACTCAGGCCCAAGAAGTGGCTCTGAAGCCATAAGACCAGGGTGCACCTAGATTTTTTGTTTGTTTGTTTTTTAATAATGTTTGCTAACTCACTAGTGAGTTCCTTGAAAGTCCCTGGTGAGAAAAAGAAAAAGTGGTTGATTATTTAAACTTAAGCAGTGAACTTAGAAAAAGATGGAGTATTTTGTTGCTATACATTTGTGGTACATTAATTTCTGGTTACATGTAATTTTTATGAGATGTAGGATGGTGAAGAATAAATACTTTCCCCTGTGTTTTAGATTTTTCAGGACAATGTATTCTGGATCCCATGATACATATTTAAGTACTCATATTAATAAAAAATTTAAATATTTTCTTTTTCCATTATCCTATTTTCCATTACGATTTTTAATGACCCAAGGGTGGAATGTGAAGCAAAAATATTCTTAATTAAACCATCTTCAACTGACAACTCAGGACCAAAAGAGACAGCTGAGGCACAAAAGTGACTAAAAAATGACACATTTCATTAATATTAGAGGGGGGAAACCTGATTAGTCCTTATGACCACAACTTTATATAATCTGTTACTAATGTCACATCAGAATGCTTAATCAAGCTTTTATTGCTAAATGAGATTCCACTATCTGTGCCCTTTGAAAGTAATGAAAATCAGGATGCAGGAGAAAGACCCCCCCAAATTCCACATACCAATGAGTGGCATTGTTAGGCATTTTAAATATATTACAATGCCCTTTGGAAATCTATTTCATGAAACTTGAGTTCCTAGTATGGAGTTTTCTATTCCAGAATATTTCTGAAATTAATGCAAATAAATTATTTGCTGGCTACCAATTTTAGCTATCCTCATGTCTACAAAAGAAATATAAAGCAAAGTACATAAAACCTAAAAGCCAAAATTCACACTATTAATTCTAGCTAGCTAATTTAACCAACTTAGGAATTGTAATGATATTTTAATAAGCTATCTATAAAAACATTTTTGTGATCATATCTTTAATTAGCCTGTTTTTGTGTCTGGAGCCTAACACAGTGCCGTCTGACACTACAATAGATGCCCCATGCACCTTTGTCAGCCACTAAATAGAAATGAGAATACTTGTGTAGTCATGATAGGACTCCTGTTAGTTTTATCTTGAATAGCTGAAACTTTTGAAAACTTGAACCTTTTCCGATCTCCAATACTGTATTAGCCAGGACTTCTTTGGTTGTATGTGACAGAGACTCACTCAAAATGGCTTGAGATCAAAAGGGAATTTTAATACCTCATAGGACTGCAAAGTCCTAGATCTGGCATCAATGCACTTGGATACTAGGGCTCAAGTGAGGCCATCAGAACCAGGTCATCAGGATTAACTCACTTCTACTTCCCTTTGGCTTGATTGCATTGCCAGACAAGCAAAATAAAGGCCAGTAGCTCCAGGTTTACTTCCTATCCTCTTTGCAATTCCTGTGGAAAGAGCATTCTTCTCAGCAGTTCTCTTGGGAACTCCTAGACTTCAGCCCCATTGGCTCTGATTGGTTGACTTGAATTACGTGCCTATCCTTGGATCCACAGAGTAGCACCAGGGGCAGTAAAACCACAGGGAGGGGGAGTGAGAGATGGGTGAACCTCCCAAGGAAAATTGAAGTGGGAATAGAAGAATAAGAAGGAATGGATGCCAGCAGTGACTACCTATGATTGACTTTGATGCTTTATCATCTTCCAATCTCAACTTATATAACGAAATACACATGAAATCTAAATTTAAAAAACAGGTGTCTGCTAAATAAATGCAGCTTTAGGACAAGACTTCTAACCAGATTGCTACCCAAAGACCCTCCTCTGAAAAAAAATTCTAAAGCTAGCCCCAGATGCCAGGCAGGCCAAACAAAGAAATCACAAGCCAAGTTATGGATCTTAGTCTGTCTATTAACTAACTAACTAACTAACTAACTAA